CCCTCTCCAGAGCCTGCAGCACAGGGCCACAGATGACGGACGGGGCTCCAGGTCTTGGGTGACGGGCGTTGTCGTCTGTGTGCAACTCGAGGACTCGACCGTCGACGCTACTGTGCCCTCCGGATAGACAACCGGGTCGAGTCGATTCGCCCACACTCCTCGCCTCCGCAATATCTTGGGGACCAGCCGCACCTTGTCCGCATCCACTCTTGGACACTCCCACTCATCTCTTATCTCACCCTCTCAACTCTCTCCTACATTCATTCTTCTTTGACATCCTCTTGAGCCTTGTCTACAGCCTTCTGCCTCACTCCTTGACCGACCGCGAGACGATTGACCGGCGCGAACCATCACCTTGGCCCCTTGCCACTCGCAGAATCAAGTTGACCATCCCGGATCGACCATCTTCGCGAATGCGTCCTCAACGACTCTCGCTACCCAGTCTTTGACCTCGACCTTGACGGCAATCTTGTCCTAACCCCCATTGTCCGTGCACCGATCTATCGATGCTCTTGATCTCGCACCGAAGGCCTCTATTTTCATGCATCCATCGCCTGTGTCGTTACTACCACCGCTCAAGTGCCATCGCCGGCCGCCTCATGTCGAGTTGAATCCTCGAGGCGTATCAGATCCAACTGCCGGCCCAACAGTACCACATCCTCGGCCTCCAGCGCCGGCCCATCCGCAACCTCCGATCGAGTTATAAGCCCGAAACCGTTTCGTTCACCTCGCTCGTCGAGCCCTCCGCGGAGGACGACGAGCGCGGACCGCCGACGTAGCCATGACGCTCTACTCGGATCCTCCAGCCCTCCGCGAATTCAAGTATGACAAGCCGACATTGCTTGTCTGCTGGTGGGCAACCTCGTTTTGCACCCTCATTATCCTGTTGCGACTTGCAGGTCGCTTCATCCGAACCGAACGACTCTTTACCGAAGACCGTGTCGCGGCATTAGCCTTGATCCCCTTGTATGCTCGCATGGCATGCGTCCACTATATCCTCATTTACGGAACGAATAATGCTCAATTCGACGGCGTCGAGCTCACAGACGAGCAAATACGTCAAAAATCCATCGCAAGTGGCCTCGTGTTGGCCAGCCGGGTTTTCTACGCCGCAACGTATGTGGCGCGCCCTTTTCTCACCCCCTTGCCTTGCCCACATCCCGCCACGTCTAACCGTGCGCCAACGTCGAGTTTTAGATGCTGACTCTCTTCGAATAGTCTCTGGGTGCTCAAGACGGCCATCCTCGAGTTTCTCCACCGATTAACACGTGCCACGTGGGAACGAGCATGGCAAACTTCTCTATACGCCATCCGAATTATCCTCGCCGTCACCTTTGTCGCAGTCGTCATTAGCGACCTCATCGAATGCCGACCTTTCCGCGCCTACTGGCAGGTGTTGCCCGACCCCGGTGGTCAATGTCGCCAGGGCTATGTGCAGCTTATTACCATGGCTGTCTGCAACGTTTTGACGGATCTGCTGCTCGTCATTTTCCCGATCCCGATCATTGTGACGAGCTCAATGACACTCAAGAGAAAGTTCCAGCTTGTGCTACTCTTCTCTCTCAGTTTGTCCGTTGTGGGCGTCACTCTTTACCGAGTGCCGCATATTATCCAAGAAGATGGCCGCCAGCAGTACCGATCACTTCTCGCCTCAGTGGAGCTCCTGTTTGCTACGGCCGCGGCTAACTCACTAGTTTTGGGTTCCTTCATGCGGGACCGAGGCTTGAAGAAGCAAAAGTTCCGACGAACCTCCGTGGCCGAATCCCTGGATCCCTCGCTTCATCCCAGGCGTCCAACTCTGCACCGTCATTGGGGAAGTGACGAGGACTTGGTCCGAGATGTTGGTATGACCGTTGAGCCCGACCTACGTGATCAGCCAGACAACAACAGCGATAGCGGCATCTTCCAATACACTCCCGCTCCTATTGCCCGGAAACTCGACCAAGACCTTGAACGTTGGCAATTCCCGCAGCGGCAGCGCAGCAATGCAGAGCGAAGCGACGACTCTTTGTTACCACATGATGCTCTCGCTCTCGCCGCGGCAAGGAGTGATTCGGGTACTACACCAAGAAGAGTCTCATTCTTTGATGTTGGTGGGCTACTAGACACTCCTAGAGAAGGCAGCGGAAGCTTCCGTCACGACAGCCGCGATTCTTCCAACAAGGACGAATCAGCATCAGAGCACACTCCTCCTGCGCCCTCATTGCCGGCCAGCACGGGTGGATTCCGCCGTGGCTCTACCGCGCTCCTCCAAGACCTCGGAGGGATGTTTGGCCCTCTTAATACGAGACAAGGCCGATCCAAATCCAAGTCTGGAGGTACTGAGCTGCAGCCGATACCCCAGTCTCAGCAAGAGACACGGTATAACGCTCACGGGAAGCCCGAGGCGGAGCTCAGGGATCCAGGAGGTCTCCTGAGTTAAGCCAACTTCCACCAACGATGAGGTCGGAGATTTCTCTCTTCTACGATATACTTATACTATGGCCGACGATACGCCTTACGACGATAGCGATATGTTTTACCACGATTCTTTTTTCCCGGTCCGCTCTTGGAGTAGATATAGCGGCAACCGGTTGGCGTTTATAGCATGGTGTGGGAGGATCCTCACGGAAAGGGGTGGATGACACGACGGGGTAATAATGTGCAAAGATGGATGCCATGATGACTTTTCTTTATCTCAGAGGCACATGAGAGAGGCGCGGGCTTTGGGCGCCTACGCAAATGGTTGATACCTAGGGTTTATTATTCCGACCGACGTTTTTCACGTCGGCTTCTTTTGGTTTTGGGTCATCCGGTTGGACTAGACTGGATGAATGGACGAATGGGTTGATGGATATTGGATTGGTTATATATACCCCGGCGAAAGCCAAGTTTTACATTGGATGGAATTGGTAGGAACAAGGACATTGTTTATCGGCTCTTGGGAGCATTCAAGTAGGATAATATTGATCCATATGATGACATGTGTCATTGATATTTCTTATTGTATTGCCTATGTTGATGTTTCATGATCAGCGTGATAACGGCTGCCTATGGCTAGAGATGCCATGTCCTCGAACACTGGCATCGCACATAGCAGCTCTCAAGGTAGATGATAATCCTTCATTGGCTTTGCTACGGCATCGCGCAACATACATAAAACCCCTGAAACGCCAGCTTTTTAGAACCTCAATTACAGTTGATTGACGCCTCCATCCTTCCTTGATCTAACCAGACCTCTCACCTCCGCAAACATAACATCCCCATTGCCTCCTTTGTTCATCGTCTATACACACAACCGGTAACTGGCATACCGTCCGGCCGTTTCACTGTTACGGATAATCTTTACGACCTGTCCTCTCTTGAGACCCAGGTAGCGAGCGACAGGATCTCGCTGCAGGATACGGGGCAGCTGAGTCTCCTTGAGGCGGTATCGCTTGAGGAGGGCAGTCTTCTCGTCTCGGGAGAGCAGGACGTGCTTGGGAACAAGCTCGTGGTGGGTAATGTTGACAAGCAAGTCATCCTCGAGGAAGCACTCAATCTTGGCTAGGGACTCGACGCTGGCGAGCGACTTGCGTGCGGCGGGAGACAGGGGAACGTGGGTGACCATGATGCCCGTCTTGTAGTGGTTGGTGATGACGTACGTCGCGAACTGGCGGATCTGGCTCACGCCGAAGGTCTTGTCGGCGAGGAACTCGACCCAGATGGGGCCGCAGTCCGGGACTGGGTCGGGCTTGTCGGCCGTGGCTGGGGGGGTGAACTTTCTCAGCATGGACTCGCTGGGACGGGCGGAGAACTGGAGCTTTGCGCGGCTAGATGATTGCGAAGACATGTCAGCTGTGCTGCCTTGTGTGTATGCGGTGTATCTTTTGTAATCGCGAGAATGAGACGTCTTTGTTTTCTTACTTGATGGAGCCATCGGGGTTGCAGTACTCGTCGCGGAAGCGGTCGAGCGAGATCTTGACTTCCTCCTCAGCCAGCTCGTATTCCTTTAGAGTCGATGTTAGTCTCGTGTGTTCCAAGGCGTACCAAGACACGCGCGAATGGTGTTGCGCCGTCATTCAATCAGAGACAAAGACATACTCGATCCGCGACCATCTCGTGGACGGTCCTCCACGCTCTCCAGAGCCGGACGACCTCCTTGGACCTGGCATCCGTAGGCACGTGATCGATATCCATAGTGTTATGTTAAGGAATAGGATACAAATTCGAGGGCGAAGGTTGTGATCGATTACGATTGTTGGTTTGCGGTCGCGCGGGCTTCAAAAGTCAAAGTTTCTGCGGTCACTCACAGCCTTGCATGCTTCGGCGCCGCAAAAGTCCAAAAAGTCCTTGAGCGGGTCCAAGCGTCCGATAAGGTCATGTGATTTACGCCACAGGCAATTGACAGATACGCCACAGTTGGATCGTCAACGTAGGGGTGCACCAGCCACGACGCCCCCAAGTCTAACCTAGAGTCAAAAGTGGAAGGAACAGCCCCGAACCCCTGCCCACCAGTGTCAGTCCGCCCCAGACAGACGGCGTCCAGGCACCGGAGGACCAGGTCCAGCGGCCGGGTCCAGTCCCTTCAGTGGTCTCGGGGCTTCCCTTCCAGTGGACGCTAGGGGAGACGACCCGACTCCAAGGGGAGGGGACACCCCTAAAAAGGACACCGGCAGGACCTGAGCAAGCCCCCAGAGACAAAAAGAAAACAGCTTGAGCCCAGCCCGTGAACGCACGGGCCAGAGCCCCAACGGCGAGTGCTCAAAATTGATCGCAAGTTCAAACCAGACACGGGTCCAGAAGGTGACTTGGGTACCTTAATTACCTACTTTGGGGGGGCATATCCTTTTTTTTTCGTCCACCTCCTCCCGCCTTCTCTCTCCTCTCTTACTTTGACACTTTCCCTTCTGACAACACGTGTCGTCGTCGCCTTCACCTTTACTCTTGCTAGTCAAAGCCATCTCGAGCAGCTTCGCTCCCGGCTTCAACCTTCTCCCCGTGCTCCTCACCGTATCCTCTCTGGTACCCGCTTCTTCACAATGGCCGACACTGCGACTGCTCCCGCCCCTGCGGCGGACAAGCAAGCCCATACCCGTCCTACCAAGCCTGACGAGAATGCCTTTAAGGAGGCTCTCGCAAAGGCTGAGAAGGACCACAAGGTTTCCATGGACCAGCTGGTACGGCCTCAATTCCCTCCTTCCTTGAGCAATGGCTATACCTATCAGCCCAGGTTCCACACCTGTGGGCTCATGTGCTGGCCAAGGGGTTTACACCGACTGACACTCTACTCTCTATAGGCTGCTGTCAAGGCCAAGATCGAAATTGCCATGCCCAACAAGAACAAGGACCAGCCTAGCCCGACCCAGAAGCGACGACAGGAGCTCATTGCCCAGGCCAACGAGATTCGCCAGAAGCAGGCCGGAGGCAAGAACGCCCGCACCACCAAGCTCGACCAGATCAAGCGCCTCGATGAGCAGGTTCGCAGCAGGATCGCCGAGCAAAAGACTGCCAAGGCCAAGGTTCCCTACAAGTCCCTCGAGGATGTCGACCGCCAGATCGCCACTCTTGACAAGCAGGTCAACTCGGGTACCATGAAGCTGGTTGACGAGAAGAAGGCTCTTTCCGACATCTCTAGCCTCCGAAAGATTCGCAAGAACTTTGGCCAGTTTGAGGACTCTCAGAAGCAGATTGACGACCTGCGCGCCAAGATCAAGGAGATCAAGGACACCATGGATGACCCCGAGCAAAAGGCCATGTCGGAGCAGTACACCAAGATCCAGACTGAGCTCGATGCCATCAAGGCCGAGCAGGATGAGGCTTACAAGGGTCTGTCGAGCCTCCGTGACGAGCGCACCAGGCTTCAGGCCGAGCAGCAGGAGAAGTACACCGCCATCCGCAAGCTCAAGGACGACTACTACGGCCAGAAGAAGGCTTTCCAGGCCTACGAGCGTGAGGCCCGTGAGCGTTACCGCGAGAAGCAGCGGGCTGAGCACGAGCGTCACATCCAGGAGCGCAAGAAGGCCGAGGCTGAGCGCCGCCTTGGCGATGCCAGCGACCCTGCCTACCTTGATGAGATTCGTCGCGCCAACAGCCTTCTCCAGTTCCTCGACCCTAACCACAAGGTTGAGAAGGGTCCCCTGATGGCCGACACTGGTCTCGGAGCTCAGGCTCAGCGAAGCGTCGATGAGGCCGGTCTTAAGGGCACCAAGCTCGTCCGCAAGGAGGACCGTGAGGACGAGTACTTCTCTGCTGTCAAGAAGGGTAAGAAGGGCAAGAAGGGTGGTCATGCTGCCTCATCCAAGTTCTTCAATGTCCCCCCCTCCGTTGTCGAGGACTGCGCCGCCATGGGTATCGACCCTCCTATGAGTGCTTTGGACATCCCTGGCGTTACTGAGAAGGTTCGCGCCAAGCTCGACTTCTGGAAGAACGACCAGGAGGCCCAGACCAAGCGTGTAAGTATCCTCCATTTTACCCCCGAGTGAGTCATGTGGAGTCCAGTATACTGATGTCGAATGCAGAACATTGAGAAGGCCAAGAAGGAGATCGCCGAGCTTGAGGCCGCCGAGGCCAACGGCGAGAAGGTCGAGGAAGTTACCTCTGGCCTGAAGGAGACTTCGATTGCTGAGAAGCAGGAGTCGTAAGCCTCTCTGACACCGCTATTCCGCTCGTCGGTATTCTCCCATGCCGACCATGCTGGGGCCATCTTCGAATCTTCCTACCACCATCCTCACCACTTACTCCCGTCTTTCGTCATTTCGGCATCCACCTCTCTGAACGTTCCTCGCGCCACCCCTCGGTATATCGAATCAAATGTTGAGGCGCCCTCAAACGTTATTCGAATCTCATCTGGCCACTGAGTTAATTATGCCGAGTCTCTTGCCGCTTCCACACTTTTCCCACCCTCCCTATATAACCTCCTGGTCGAATATAAAAGCGCTTGTTGTGCTGTTTTGTAATTAGGCGCTGATTTTTCACGAAGGTGATGCGCAAGAAAGAAGAACGAGAGATGAAGAAAAAATACAGTTGGTTCAATCTGGGAATGCTTGGATTTTTGCGTGATGTGATTATGTTCGGCTATCGAATATCTTGGCGATCTCCAAGTCAATCGCTCGCTTACCACTCAATGGCGAGAGCCTGATGAAGGGTCATGAGGAGTCGAAAAGCGTAGACTTGAGTTGGCATGCATCGGGCATATGCGCTCGCTTTGTTGATCGTCTCCTTTGGTGTTGCCCTGCATGCGTGCATCAATGACCACCAGCCGCATTCGAACCTTGCAAAAGCCCCGTCGTCTCACTGCACTGCAGACACATAGATCCGCGGATAATAGGTAGGTTGAAGCAATATGCAGGTATAGGCTTGACACTAGCCAGCCCCCAGCTCTTCTTCGGCCTATCGCCATGGCCTCAGCTGCACTCGGACGCCCCTCTTTTGATCATCCATCCCCCACTCCTCCAGCCAAGAAATGCTGCTGGCCTTGCTCGGCCGCTCGCTCTCTCGCTTGCCCGCGTGCGGCAACTGTCTCGTTCGGCAGGCCATTGATGATGGGTTGGGGTGCTCGTGGTTGAGTGAAATATTGCCTTCTGCGGCGTGGTATTTTGCTTGACTTCAAATACAAATATGCCCAACTTTGGTAAACCCCAACCAAATACTCCAAATGAAAATACTGCCAGACCGGGCAGGCTTCTAGTCCAACACAGGTGGAAACTTTGGCCCAAACTTTGAGAATCCTCGATGATGATGCCACTTTGGTCTGTTATGCCGGTAATACTCCACGCCCCAATTATGCAATGGTCGTGATGTTCGTAGAGTCGTAATGATATGATTTGGCTGCATTGTATGCATGCCTTGCAGCAGCTGTGTTGTGTATGGATGGCTTTGGCATGTCCGTCGGTCGTGGCCCCTTTCAGTAGCCGGGATAGTAAGACGCTGCGGGCGGTGGCGGAGGAGGCCCGAAGCCAGCAGGTCGCCTCTCTCGGGGGCCTGGAGTACGGCGATCGAGTCGGGGCATGGGAGGAGGTGTTTGAGAGTGAAGTGCGGCCGGGTCGCGGTATCCGACGGGTGCAACGGCTGCAGAACCTCCGGGCACTGGACCACCGCCGCCGGCGCCGCCGCTTCCGCTTCGACGATTTACTTTGCGGAAGTTTGACAGAGATCCCAGGGGCGGATCCTTGACCGCGGGCTCATCCTCCGCCGGCAGGGTCAATTCAACGAGGCCAAAGAAATACTCAAGAACTTCGGGGTATCGCTGTACGCTCGCTTGCCAATCTTCATCAATGCCGCGCTTCAGGGAAGCTTGAGCTTCGGCAATCTGCGTCGGGTGAGGTGGTGCGTGGTAATAGTGATATGCGTGGGCGGTGATACGGTCCAAGTGGGCAGAGTGTGCTGTCTTACGTTGATCGGTGAGGAGGCGGAAGTACTCGAGAATGTAGTCCTGTGCGTGTCCTCGGACCCAAGATCTGTCAAGTAGAGTTAGGATTGACTTGACGTCGGGATTGATAATCAGTCGGGCTTGCGAACCGTATCTCTGTGTATATCGACCGCATCATGCGGTCTTCGGCCTGCTTGACGGCGACGTCAAGTCCCTTGGCCTCACAATCGCATGCCATTGACGCCGGAGCGTGGCATATCGCGCAATCGGGATCCATCCTGTAGGTGGTGGGCTTGCCAAACGGATAATTTCTGGTATACATCTTAGCGGAGGCGGCAGACAAATCGGCGGCGACGAAGCCGGAGTGAGTCGAATCGAGTCGGGGAAAATAGGTAGGTAGGTAGATGGGTAGGGTCGTGTGCAACGGGCGGTCAACTCATGACATCGACGTGAAGGTAGGTTTGAGATCCCCCTCCAGCCCCGCAGGCGTATTTCATGAGGTGTGATGTAGGAGAGAGGGCCAGTGATGACGAGATTGCACGACGTAGGCCGGGGATGGGGGCCAGGAAGTGTAATTACAGAGGAGAGAAGAGTCAAAAACTGACCTACCAGTAGCTTAAAGGCACGAGCCGTCCGTGTTAGAGTCTGTCGGGCGTGGCGGTAAGGAGATAACGAGACCAGGCGTGAAAATGGTCTGGTATGCCCGTTCAACACCAACAGACGGGGGAAGAGAGCAGCTGTTTCGCTGGAGCCAGTATGTATCCTGCAAGGCAAGCACCAGCAGCTCTCGGGGCTCGAGCTGGAAGGGGAGGGAGAAACTGAAGAGCGAGATGGAAGAAGTCGCGTGGGGAAGCGAAGGAAGCTATGTGGAGAGATCGAATGAGGACGGCCGGACCACGTCTACAGTCGTGGCTCGAATGCGGGACCACGGAGCGTATGCAGGCTGACCCAATGACCTCGAGCTGGTACAAGGGAGGGGTCGATGGCGGCGAACCGTCGTTGGGCGAAGCTGCGGCTCTCAGGTGTCGCTGCCAGGAAGGGTGGTGTTGATGAGCAGCAGGAGCAGCAGCAGTACCACTCTGGGAGGGGTGGAGGTCGAGCGTGAGTGGAACGTGGACGTGGACGTGAGGAACTGGGACGAAGTTGACCGAGTCCGAGAGATGGATGGCTGCTGGGCTGGGCTTCATGTAGAGAAGCGAGTCTCAGAGCTGAACCAACCGACGAACTTAAAAGAAGGCGGGAGATGGTCGGGCTTGACAAATGAGGAGTCGGTTGGGCTGGAGGTGGTGAGCCAGGGCACCGTTTGCCGAAATTGGACGAATAGAGATCGAGGTCAGCAGCAAGGAGCCCCAGCGAAGAGGCAAACCGGCGGCAGAAGAGGAAACAGAGGACTCTGTCGACGGATGTGAGGGAGAGCACAAGAGTCGTTTGGTTTCGTTGGCGCTGCCGTCCGCTGCAACACCGATTCACCGCATTTTGGCGTCAGCAGCCGCTTGCTGCTCCATCACTATCGGGGTGGTCGGTTGGTCTCAGTCCACTTGCTGGCCGAATGGCAATCGGCGCCAACTATGGGCCATTACGGTCTGGCTGCAGGATCCCGACGGGGCGAGGCGAGACGAACGGCCAGGGGACGTTGGAGAGTCCATTGATTGGCAAGTCATCGAGAAGGGTCGCTGATTCGCGAGCTATCAGCATTCACTGTTAGTTTCTAGTATACTAGATGAAAGGGCAGAATTCCATCAGCAACATACTGACATTTGCGTGGTTGTACAACCTGGCTTGTGCGTTCAGAACCGGCCAAAGCGTTCGGCAAATCGTACAGCTACTTCTCGGGTACAAGGTCCGTGAGGGCAATGTAATGCATCGACTAGTGGCAATGGGACGTTGATTGTGTCAGATGAGAGAAGACGGTCGAAACCCGGTATCGGTTATCGCCTTTCGCTTCCGGCGAAGAGGGACGGAAGAAGAAGAGGAAGAGATCCGTGACTTTAAGATGAACGATCCTGACTGCCTTAGTAGTTTCACGAGAGAGTCCTAGATAATAACCTGAGGCATACAGTGCCGGGAGGCATGCGCGGTTGCCTACATTCACTAAAGTCCTCTTTCCCATTTGGGACGTATTCCTGACCACGGCGGGGAAGCGCGGTAACATGGCGATCAAGATTGGACGAGAAGGGATAGAGCAGGGCATTCTTCTACAAATAGAACGAGTCGAAGACATGATTCAACTTAATCGTCCCCTGCTTAACGATTAGACTTTCCTAGGTTGAGATTGTCATGAGATACAGTATCCGTTATGGTGTAGATCTATGGATAGCTCTCTCGTGAACGCACCTGCCCGCCCAGGCCCCGCTCTTATCGGAGAAATTTTGGCCAAGCTTTGGCGTCAATGTCAATGAGCTTCAACATCAAATTGTTGCTTGATTCAAGCACGAGCTTGTCGCTCAATTGTTAACCATGGCGCCGCGTTGTCCGAGCGCATCGGCGCCTTTCCTTCCCTTTCTCTACCCGTCGCTGTTTGCGTCAAGACACGCTTTTGCAAGCGTAGCAGCTCTACGACGACGCTACAACTCGACTGTCAACGACCTCCCGGAGACACGACTCAACCCAGCTCCCGACGACTATGCCGCCCCAAGCTTCTCAGACAAGGCCCAGCTAAGCTTATATGCTGGTCGAGGTGGAAACGGTTGCATCTCCTTCTTGCGTGAGGCATATCTCGCCGAGGGCCCTCCCAATGGCGGCGACGGTGGTCATGGAGGCAACGTCTACATCCAGGCTGCCCACGGCGAGACCTCGCTACACAAACTTGCGCGGAAGCGCTTTATCCGTGCGGGTAGAGGAAAGCATGGTCAAGGAAGTGCAAAAAGCGGTACTCGGGGTGACGATGTCATCATAACGGTGCCTGTGGGAACGGTTGTGCGGGAGCTGGAGCGTGAGGATCCTGTCGCTGAGGAGGAGATGGATATGCGGCTGTGGCGTGTCCAGGAAAAGGCGCGCAAAAAGGAAGAGAGACTGGCTGCTGCGGAAAGGCAGAAGAGGGAAGAGGAAGACGAGGAAGTTTACGAAGAGGAGGAGAATGAGGTTGAGGAGGAAGAGGAAGAGGAAGACCAGAACCCTGAGCGTCGCAAGTGGTTGCTATACCCCGGTCTGTCCAAGACGGATGTCAAGCAAACCGTCTTCCCTCGACTTCCGAAGCGCCATCGCCTCTATAAGCAACCTCCGCCCAAGATCCATCTCGACCTGTCTCGTCCGACGCCCAAGCCCATCCTCCTCGCAACCGGCGGTATCGGTGGCTTGGGGAACCCTCATTTCACATCGCGAGCGCACCCTCGCCCAATGTTTGCGACCAAGGGAGAAGACGCCATCAGCATGAAGGTTGAGCTTGAGCTCAAGCTCCTTGCCGACGTTGGGCTGGTGGGTCTACCCAACGCTGGGAAGAGTACCCTTCTTCGTGCTATTACCAACAGCCGTACTCGTGTTGGTAATTGGGCTTTTACGACTCTGCAGCCCAATATTGGCACTGTTGTTCTTGATAAGTATTCTGGTCGACCTACTATCAAGAGTTATCGCCGTTATCCCGCTCAGATGGGTCTCCCTGAGGAGATAGAGACTGAGCCACGCACTCGTTTCACCATCGCTGACATCCCGGGTTTGATTGAGGGTGCCCATCTGGACCGCGGTCTCGGAATTGCTTTCTTGCGTCATGTTGAGCGTGCTGGTGTCCTCGCCTTTGTCATTGACCTTGCAGCGGGCAATGCTGTCAAGGCTCTGGATGCGCTATGGCGTGAAGTCGGCTTATATGCCCAGATGCGCGATGAAGAGGAGGCAGACCGCGAGATTGACTCGCGCGTTGACTGGGACCTTGAATCAGGCATGGACGGTCCCATGAATTTCCCCCCTGAGTTTGAGACCGGACTACCTGACTCTACGATGACCCCTGCTCTTCAGATTGCTGGAAAGCCGTGGTTCGTTGTGGCAACCAAGGCCGACCTCCCAGAAACTCAGAGTAACTTCAAAGAGCTCAAGGAATATCTCGACGGCATCACCAAGGGCGACAAGCCGCATCCCAGTGGCGTTGAAAATGCCTGGACCAAGGACTGCACTGCCATCCCGGTAAGCGCTATCAACGGTCAAGGCGTCGACAGAATTGTGCACTGGACCGTCGGTCTTTTGGACGAGTAAATGGACACGTTGGGGAAGCCCCATGTATTATACCATCTGTATCAAGAGTTCATCCCTGACCATGATTTAAACATTGTAACAACACCAAAATTTAATCAAACACGTGTACACCCAATTTACCATTCTCATTTCACGCGGCCTCCTCAGCCTTTGTCTCGCCAGCTGCCTCCTCCTTTACCGGCTCCGCAGCAGGCTCCTCAGGTGAAGGAAGATCCGCAACGTCAACCGCCTCCTTCTCACCAGCCTCAACCTCGGCCTCCTTAGCTTGCTGGGCGACCCTTTGCTTCTCCAAAGTAACGTTGATAAGAGGGGAGGTGTCGTTGAAAATACGCAGGAGCATAGCAGATCGGTCCTCCTTGGGCAACATGAGGTTGAGCGAGTGAATGCTCTTCCAGATAGGCAGAGCCATACGCTCAGCAAAGTCGGGATCCGAACCGTCAGGCTCGATACGAAGGACGGCGCAGCCCATACCGATGTCACGGACACGCTCGCCAATCTCATCGAATCGCTCCCACTTGCCATCGTTGATGCGAGGGAACATCTCGATGAGCAGCTTCCGGAAGGTCTCCTTGTTATGGAGGTGGACGACGCGGGGCTCGCCGACGTAACCCTGAAGGATGGGCATACCCTCAGCCTGGATGCGCCATCGGCAGACCTCGGCGGACGGGGCGTCCTGCTTCATGTACATGCGAACACCGCCGTGGATGAATTTGATTCCACGGCCCTCGTTCTCGGACAGGATGTCCCTGAGGAGAGCGCTGGTGTAGTAGATGGCCTTGGCGGGCTCACCCATCTCATTTCGCACCATGTACCGATCATCGGGGAAACGGCTAGAGATGTGGTAGAAGTCCTTAATGTTCTGGACGGTTGGGTGAGCTGGGTCAAGGTACTTGAAGGGCTCCTCAACAGGGCCGTTTCGGCGAGGCTTGCTGCCCTCCTGGTTCTTTGCCTGAGCCTGAGGGACAGGCGTGGCGCTGGCTGACGTATCGACTTCGGTCTTGGCCTTCTTTGCGGGCTGGTCCTCAGCATCCTCAGACTCCAGCGGCCTCTTATGTCCGTTGGTGGATGCATCCGCCATAGCGACATCCTCCTGCTTGGCTTCCTCAGCAGCAGGGGCGGCCTCAGTGGCAGCGGGGACAGCCTCAGCCTCCTCCTTAGCAGGCTCCTTCTCGTCGGAAGCAGCCTTGGCCTCGCCGTTGGCCTTGGGCTGGGCCCGAGGTCCGGGATCGTTCTCGTTTCGAGCCTTGAACTCGGACTTCTTTTCCAAAACAGTGATAAAGAAGCCACCAGTATCCTGCATGTGGGGGTAAACTCTCATGCAGCGTTCCAGAGGCAGATCAGCGCAGTCAGAGCCCTCGACCCGAGGGAACATGGTCTCGACAACTCTTCCGGGGATGACGTTGTCAGGGCTCTCCTTGGCAAAGTCCTCAACCTCCTTCCAAGAACTCCAGATCCTGGCGCTCTTGTCCATAATCTTCCAGTCCTTCATGCCAGGGTTTCGCTTCAGGTTGGGGAGTTGGTCACTGCAGTCGACGATCTCGACGTTTTCAGCGCCACATCGCTCAATGGCAGAGACAACGACGGACTCGTTCTCGACGGGATTCATGCTGCAGGTGGAGAAGACGACTCGGCCGCCAACCTTGAGCAGCTGAAGAGCTCGCACCAGGATTCGGATCTGAGTCTGGTGCAGACCCAGGGCACTGCCAGGCTGCCAATCCTTCCAGATGTTGGCATTCTTGCGCAGAGTTCCGTCACCGGAGCAAGGGACATCGGCCAGAATACGGTCGAACTTGAGATAGGTGGGCTTGCTGTTACCCTCTCTGGGGGGGAGCCTGATGGAGGGGAACTGAGTAGCGTCGTGGTTCGTGACGAGAAGGTTGGGGGAAGAGAGTCGCTTCAACTGGTGAACAAGCATGTGGCCGCGCTTGTAGTCAGAGTCGTTGGCGATGAGCATACCAGTAGCTCTTCCGGCATCGCTAGGGTCGGCTTCCAGATCGGCCTCGATCTCGTCTTGCGTCTCGGCGCCCAGGTCCAAACCATCATCCTTGGCGAAAGATCGGAGAACCTTGCGAACACGAGCCTCCTCGCCCTGGTGGATCATCTCAAGCAGCTGCGCCGCCTTGCTTCCAGGCGCGGCACACATGTCCAGGACGGTCATGCCAGGGTGGAGGTCCATCAGCAGAGGAGGAATCATGCTGACAACTTCCTGTCGGCTAATGTTTCCAACGCTCGTCTCGGAGACCAGGAACTTTTGGAATGCGGCGAAGGGAGGGAACTTGCGGATGACGTTCTTGGGAGTGGTCATCCACCAGGCCAAATCGTCGGGGTACCAAGGCACAGGCTGAGGGGGCTCGACAGGGCGACCATCCTGGTGCTCGATGTTAACGATCTCGGGGATGTATCTGGTCTGAAGGAGGCCCTTGACGGTGAGGGCGTGACTGTGTGGCGATCAAGGTTAGCAGGCAGTTCGCGACACGGCGACACGTGAGACGCACCCTTTGGAACCGCAAAACCTGAAGCTGTTGGGGAGCTCGCGTCTGAGAGCCTCCCAGTAAGCATTCTTCTCCTCCTCGGGGAGCTGAAGCAAGGTATCGTAGAAGCGCTGAAGCTTCTCGTTCTCCTTGGGGATGACGGGATAGTCTCTCCAGCCGCCTCTGTCCTGCGCGCCTCCTCCTCGGCCGCCGCCGCCGCCTCTTCTATTCTTTCCCTGTATGTCGCGTCAAGTCAGCAGAGCGCAATTGGCGCGTTACGGGTTGGGGGGAGTGCGCACCCTGAAGCTCTTCTTGCCCATGGTCGCAAATGTTTTGGAGTGATTGAGCTGAGCTTTGCGACAGAAATTTCGACGGCAGAAAAAAGGTAAAGGCCCAGGCCATGCCCCGCCGCTTTTACGCTTTTGAGCACCCCGCCTGCGCGCTAATGCTGCTAGGTTTGAGGCTGGGCTGCAGGTCCTTGACCCACAGATTATCCTCAGGGAGAGCATATGGTTGCAAGATATACAGACTCTTGTTCAAGGTATGTCACATTTCCCTTTGTTTTCTCCAATTTTTGCGTCGAGTTGGCGGGCAAGTAATGTCACTTTTTCCAAGCCCTTGGTGGGCCGCCCACACCTCCCAGCGCGAGAAGAATATTAGTGTATCCTCCTCTAAGAATAACTTTCAAGATGGAATAGAAGTTAGGGGGAAAATAGATTAAAGAGATCGCAAGTATCACTTCTTGTTACGATATATCTTTATCGTTTCTGTATTTTTCTTATCAACTGTTCTCGTAAAGCTGCGGCCGTTGAAAAGAGTCAAAGCTCAACCTTGCACCATTGGTGGGTGCGCGACTCGAAAAACCAGCATGTGATGTATCTTGTATCCGAAAAACTGGCATAGAAAGTTGTAAAATTCACATTCATTGACGATTGGTCAATTATTACATCCTCAAGACAATGTCTAAGGCCAATAGAAATTGTAAGCAGACCAAGCCGAAGCCGAAGCCGAAGCCGGATACCCAGTTTTCGAGGCAGAACGAACCAGTAGCATCTTCATCTCATGGCTTCGGTCCGAGCTACAGCACCTTAAACATGACGGGTTCCTCATCTTCAACTTACACGTGAACTTAACCTCATATTTGAATCTTTCCAGAAACTTGAAATGAGAACCAATCAAGATCATCCACCTCGAAGGCCAAATGGCAGACCGGAAGCTTGTGATCCATGTCGAGCACGCAAAGTAGCTTGTGATCACACTCGACCTAGCTGTGATCGATGTCGAAAGCGAGGAGAGACCAATCGATGCGTCTATACAACGACAACCTCAAGATCGAGGAGCAGAATTCAATTTTACTCAGAACAGCCTGAAGTATCTTCTCCGTCATCTCAGTCTTCCAGGACAGTCATGCGCAACTCTGTCTTTGGTCCAGGCTACCTCGGGTCTACGAGTCATGCTTCCGTCTTTAAAGAAACCAGAGATAGCCTCTCCATCCTCGAGCAGCCTGACACCCCAAATATTGAGTCAGAAACAGCTCGGCAGCAAGATCAGTTGGACATTGGATTTCACGATCTGCCTCTCCCCACTCGTCAGATGTGTCTTCTCGTTCTGCAGTATCTCCCAGGCCAGCGAGATGCTTGCATGGCATTCTACGGTGATCCTTCATCCGCCAGCAAGAAATCCTGGACCCATGTTGCGGTAGCCAGAATTATCCAATCACTCCAAGACATATTTACATACTTTGCTCAACACGATTCCCCTCTGGAAAAGGTTGCCGATGTGCTATGCCGCAACACAGCACGGCCCATGAGAGATGATTTAACCAATGCCAAAGATTGGATGGATCAATTTTGTGGTCAAAATTTACGATGGGAAGCGATCGGTCTCCTTTGGGCTCATATAGAGGGTCTATCAGATGCTCTAGGGTCTCTTGATCCCCGTCAACTGCAGTGGGTGCCAGGCAAAGAATCAACTGAACTTGCCTTGACCAGCCTGGGCTACTGTATCGAAATCTCACGCCACTTTACCGCGGGAAACGCCCTACTTCTTGATCTCTGCCGTCGAAAGGGTACACTTGGGACGTTGATTTACGGAGACGCGAGTAAGTCAATGGCTGCATGCCCGAGAACCGGATACTGAATCAAGATAGGCTCTACGTTCTGGGACTCGCACAGCTTGGCTGTGTCCATGATGATATTCCTCGGGCTCCACGCTCAGGACGGTGCCTCGAAATCACATATCCAAAAAGAAGTGCCTTCATTCTGCACCGAATACAAGCGGCGTCTTTTTTCTTACATCTTCTTCACCGACAAATCCATCGTTTCCTTCTCTGGCAGACCTCCACTCATAAGTCGCCGCTACTGCTCAACTGCGCTCCCCTTGGATCTTCAAGATGAGGATTTAATGTCGGACGAGGCTATTCTAGGCGAGGCTATGAAAACGCTAGACGACAGGGGCTGGCAAACACAGGGAAGAGTTCACAGCGTCACGTTCATGAGGGCACGCATAATGTTGTCCTATGTCCTCGATGAGTTGGTCGAGATTGCACTCGGCAACGATGCTAATATCACAGTTGATTACCTTGAGTACGTTGACTGGCCTCTCAGAGACACACGAGCTGACATTCAACCAGAAGCATTAAAGCACGTCAACTCAAAGTCTTTTCTGAATACCCCTCAAGCCTAAAATATAACCACGAGGATCTGTCCGACCCCAACCTTGACATCAAGATTCTTTACGTCAGGATCTTGACTTACTTGGCTCATCTACGAAACATCTTTTTGGTAGAGAGGCTGCTCCTCCAGCATGGTGGGGTCGACGAGGGCAACTTGCTCAACACCAGCTTTAATTTAGTCAGAGTCACTGTTGTTCTCTGGTTACATAAAGATCGGTTCGCTGAAATGCGGCGTAATTTCGAATGGCTGGTGAGTTGTTGCGGTTTAATCAAGTGTCAGGTCTAATGGAATAATAGTTGATGGCCTATGCTGCTCCAGGGGGTGGCATACTCTGTCAGGAACTGCTTCGACCAACATTTTATGGCACTCACCCTCTAAACTCTGAGCTATCACGGTCGAGTATCGTCCAACAGCTGAGTTTGCTTGCCGCGTTTCTGAATTGGGTTGGCCCGACTGCACCAAACAGCATAATGTGTGGTGACTGCCAGACTATCATCCAACGCGTGCTTGACCAGCATCTAAACACAGCCACAGAAAACAGCAGGGATTTAGAGTCTTTAGGATCACTTTTGCCGCATTCACTGGGGTTTCGGTTTGATTTGTTGAATACCTTTGACTGGCTCCAGAGTGGCATACAATAGCATAATACTGCTTGTCATACAACCCTTTATTTGACCCCAGACGCTACTACGCAAGTAGGGCAGAGCACCTTTGAGAGAGTATCGAGAGAATTTATTTGCCAATATTAATATATTAATCCGTATCACCAATGACTGCTCGTAAGCCCTTGCAGCTCCGCCGATCAGGGGACTTGGGTTGGGCTAGTCTCTAGCTCAACGCGCTATTGATCTGATATGCGCCATTCTAGATTTCTGGGCCAGCTGAAACAATGACGGCTTCTTTCATTTACCGGGGGATTCGACCGGGGTACAGAGTACAAGAAGCCCAAAGACCAGTGAGTACCCCTGCATTGGCATTTCAGCCGGTTGATCGCTTCTTACCATGAACCAAGCTGCCAGATACTCCAAGTCAACTCCACGACAGACTACACGACATGCTCTGTATCTCGTAACAATGCCCCGTTGAAATTGTGGAATGTCCCCAATCTCCTTCATCGGCAAGATCGGCCGTTGAGAGGGCTTTCCAAGTGCCGTATGGGGAATGGATAGCCCGGAGCCGTCCGTGAAACTATTTGAAAGCCACAAGGCTTCGCATGCCACTATCGCCGTTCTAGCGCCTCTAAATGAGCTCGCCCGTGTAAGCCAGCTCAGGGGCGGGTCAAGATGCTCTCCCTATATGAAAGGCTCATTCACTCTCTGCCGGGTCTTTGAGAAGCTCCATCATCCAACTTTTGTTATCCACTCTTTTGATCTTTTTCCATTCTTTCGTTTAACCCACGATGCGTTCCATCGTGGCCCTGGCGGCCTTGGCCCTCTCGGGTTCTGTCCAGCTCGCCTTAGCTAGTGTTTGTAGACCCAGCAAGACTACGGATCTTGCGACCACGACGACGTCTACGAGTGCTCCCGTGGTGACCAACGAGCTCAAGGGCGCCAAGTTCGCCCGCAGGGCTCCCGATGGTGGCATCGTTGACTTTGAGAGCAGCGGTGATGCTCAGCATGCGGATGAGGGATACAAGGGCGATGGTAGCAAGGATAATGGCTGTGTTCAAATGCACGCCGACTCTAGCCCGAAGCGAGCCCTGGGTCCGGATGTTAGCATCTCGCAGCAGGTGACAGGTCTGAACCCGTCTACCCCCTACACTATCCGGTTCTATACTGCCATCGTCCTCTACCCCCAGAACACGGAGAGCTGCTTTATCAGAGCCTACCTCGGTGGCGATCCCTTCTACGAGCAGGCGATCTCCACCTCGGGCCCTACTGCTGCCTACAGTTCCGTCGTCAGGCAGGCCAGTGCCCCGGCGAACTCGGCTATCTTTTCTATTCAGATGCAGTGCGGCAGCGGTAATGCGGCCATGATTTACGTCGACTCCATCTTCATGTCCAACCAGGTTACTCCTCAGAACATCGATGACTTTGACCTCGTCGGTGATGACGACGATGTCGAATCCCCTACAACTACTTCCGATACCGAGACTTCCCAGGCCAGTTCTACGGGAACTGTGCCTCCTGAGACTGAGACTGAGACTGCTACTAGCTCTGAACTTCCTGGAACGGAGAGCCAGACTGTCACTAGCACCGAGCTCACTGAAACCGAGAGTCAGACTGTCACCGGCACTGAGACCTCGCAGACTGAGAGCGCTGAGACGACCGCTACTACCGGTGTGGAAACCTCTCAGACTGATGTCGAGACTGGAACGACTACCGGCACTGAGACTAGCGATATCGAGACCAGCACGGCTGCTAGCACCGAGACCAGCGATGTTGAGACTGGCACTACCACCGCCACCGAGACCTCGCAAACCGAGGGCGCTGAAACTAGCACGACTACTGCTTCTGAGACTTCCCAGACTGAAGATGCCGAGACTGGCACAACTACTAAAGCCCAATCCACAACCGAGAGCGAGTCTACCATCACCTCCCAGGAGACATCTGAGAGCACCACTGCTTCTGAGGTATCCACCACTGCCTCGGAGGAGTCCATCACCATGAGCTCAACCACATCCTCTGCATCATCTGAGCCCACAATCAGCAGAATCTGTGCCAACGTTGGATCCAACCCTGATGACGGCAAGGGTTGCGACAAGAGACCTGTCACAGCGGACCCAGATTACTACTTCTCCTTCGTGGGTAACATCGAAAAGGAGCAATGTGCTACCCGCTGCCTCGGTGATGATGAGTGCGGTCACTTCGAGTATCGATATGTCAACGATTGCCACAAGGAATGCCGTATTTATTCCACCAGACTAGCCGCCGACTCGCCCACCGGTCCTTCTGGCGATACAAACATCTGGGCCTACGACCGCAGCTGCGCCTGGCAAATCCCCTGCTGGCAGCCCCCAGCTGATAACGTCTGTTTGAACAAGTTTGCCGATACTCCAGCGCCAACATGTGTCCGCCGAAAGGCCACGCTCAAGCAGTGTGCCCAGCCCTGGCTCAGACTCACCGCACCAGACTGCACCCCCGAAGAGACGTGTGCCGGAGCCTGCGCGACTTACACGGGCTGCGTCGCCTTCTCTCTGTCCTCGGATCCTAATGAGCAGCGCAACTGTCTGTTGTATACGGACCGCGTTGAGGATATCTCGGAGCCCGATGATTCCAGTCTTCTTGAGTTTGTCGACCTTGACTGCTATGCCTGCAACGGCAAGAACATGGCTTTAACCACCTACGCCCAGCCTATGGATGATAATACTCCTAAGCCCGATAACACGTGTGCTGCTCCGAACAATGCCAACTTCTTCTTGGCTACCCCTGGGGCTAACACTGCTACGACTCTCTTGACCTCGACACGTGCTGCCACTACGACCGAGGCAGCCAACTTTGCCTAGAACCAGTTTCTCATAGAAAGGGGGAAGCTAGAGGTGTATGAAGACGGAAGCTCGTTTAAACGACTAGCCATGGAGAATACACGGGTCTATATAGTCAACCTTCCTTAATGTCTACACTTTTCTTTCACTTGAAACAGATGCTCCCAACAGGCTTATAAACTTCAAGCGTATTCATACAATCTCAATTGATTTGGGTATTCAGTACAGTCATTACATGCTGTCTAGCAGCTGTGTTTCAACTTGGATCCCTTGTGAATGGCTCTAGGCCGGTGATCCGTTTTGCTCTTGGCAGTAGAATTCCTCCACTCTCACAGACAATGACCATTCTCGTAGTCTGATGCCGTCCCTTTTAGATGTCCGTTTACATCATCAGACCGCCAACGAAACCAGCCATGGCGACACCCAGGCTCATGAGTCCCCAGCGGATCTCACCCCGGGCCTCGATACCGGCGTTGGGTGCTGCGCTCTCGGTCGAGCTGGCGGTGCTAGAGGCGGCGCTTCCAGTTGATGTGGAACCATCAGAAGAGCCCGAGGAGGCCGTGGCAGCAGGGCCAAGCTCGCCGCCACCAGTAGAGCTGGGCTCGACGGTCTCATCAACGTCAGCAGCTGCCTTCTTGTAGGCCGCAAGGGTCCTCTGTCCGCTGGATCTAATGTACAAGGTTAGTATTGAATCAAACTTTTGAGTGTCGGGGCAAATTTACGGAGCATTGATGACACCAACCATACCACCCTGGCAGTGGCCCTGAATGGCACAGTAGTACCAGATGGGGGTCTCGGCATCGACATTGATGGTGAAGACCTCATCGCTGACCGCATCACTGACGCTAAAGTCACCGCTGAAGAAGGCGGTGCTGTTGAGGGGCTCGCAAGGCTTGTCGAAGCTGCTCTGGGCGACAGAGTGTGTGCCCTTGTAGAAGTGGAACTCGACTGTGTCTCCAACGGCGGCCTTCAGGTCGGCAGGCGAAAAGGTGAGGCCTCCATCGCCGACCTTGACCTTGTGGACTGCGCCGAGAGCGGCGGGGATGAGAGAGAAGAGGAGAGTAGAGGAGTGCATTGTGATTGATTGATTGATGGTGAAAGACGGGTTGGTGGGTATAGAGGTGCAAGGCTGGCTTGTATATACAAAAGATGAGTGTGATTAGATTGATTGATGATCCAAACAAAACAGAGTCAACCTTGAAGCTCTTTATACTCTTGATATCAAGACCAAAAACAATAAAAGTAGTACGTAGTATCCCCAAACTCATCGAGGGGTTAGCCTCAAACAGGGATGAAGCAAGAGGCGGCCGCCCCTGGACGCATCTCTTACACAGCCACGACGACGGACAGTTTGATGCGCCCGAGTCGGGGTATGAGCCAAGCAGCGTTTTAGAAGGGCGCGCTTGATCAAACCGGAAGCTTCCAAGAGCCGAGGCCTTTCATTCTCGTATGGCACTTAATTGCCTTTGGCGCCGGCAGATGCATGCCGTCGAAGCGACCCCCAGAAAGGGACAAGGTTTCACCAGGGTCAAGGGTCTAGGGTCCATGCGACCGCCGTCATATCCAGCACAGCCTCTGGTCGGCCAAGCTTTACACCCATGCTAGTGAGGAATTTTGGTTTGGCTGGGGGAATTGGAACTGGCAATATTTCAAATCATGCCGGGTGGGAGAATCTCTCCAGGCCTCCAAGGTGTCGCCATTCCCCTCTGTGTCTGTCTGTCTTGGAATTCTCTGCAGATGCATCGTGAATGCAGTAATGCTTACGTGTGTCTTGCTGACAGCAGTCACTTTTTGTCTGCGAAATTCAAGCTGTACATACAAGGCTTAGCTCCTGTGCATGGCATATAAGACACAGGCGAGTTGATGCGCTGTGTTTCAGCTCTGCGTTGTTGGTCTCAGGTTTCGTTTCCATAAACATACACTCCGTACTTGACCCAAAAAGTGCAACTTGCAAACGGGCATGTAACTACGAAGTACAGGGTTCATTAATTTACAAGCTACCCCGAGGCCAGGTTATTAGCCACCCTAGAGGATCATGAGAAATAATGTAGACGGTGCTGTGAGCAACCGTCAAGACTGCAGATGACACCAATAAGGAAGAATGAGCCAAGCGATGATGCCTTTAATAGTTGATATTGCATTAATATGAGTTTAATGTCATCCCCGTCGGCGTTGGCGCTTGGTCCGTATCGCACTTGATGTTTGACAGCTGCTGAGACAAGGCTCGCCGTGAAGGACTGATATATTCGAACTCAACCCCAACTTCATTATCAATGGTCAATGTAGACTATGATACCGTGTAAAATTTATGTCAGATTACCGAGTAAAGGAAAAATAGCCTCAAGCAATTGCATATTTCAAAGTGTTGCGCCTCATGGTCTAGAGCCTGACGACAGGTTGAGTGACCCTCTTGGACGAGCGTGTCTTAGATATAATAATACACAGAAAGTAAAAAAGACTTTGTTTCATTGTTTTGGATCAACCGTTACCCAAAGAGTGGCATGAACGATCTCAAAGCACCAAAGGTTCGGGTAGCCATCAAGCAGATCAGTCATAGATAGCATCTACCAAGAACGAGTAGCCTGTACTCTTGAGTTAAAGAGGCCAGTCAGATGTCGATCACGCGGGAAGTTGATGACCTTACGCTTATATGGGCAGCTCTTCTCACCAAAATCAATAGCGCTCAATAGTATGATTTCCTGGCCCAAAAATGTGACCTGATATCTTAAATGATGAACTAATCGAAAGTCTGTTTTATACAGATTGAAATATCCCTAAAGGTGCACTCGTAATCGGCGTCCCCTTTCTTATTCGTGACAAAGACACCCACACAAGGACCAGTAAAGTCCCGATCTGTCAGATCCAAGATGTCAACATTGCCAGCCAACACCCAGCCGGTGTCTCCTGTCTCGGGGTGCTCAGTCATCCACGTGAAATCAAGGTTTGACTCCGAGTACATCAACCTGAAGTGAATGTTAAAGGCGCCTGTTGGATTTCCCATGTCCTTTAGCGAGGCGACTTGGGTACGATTGCATATAGTCTTTGCTCTCCCGGTATTCTTGACTTCAAAGTGGACAGAATGGTCGGAAAAGTCATAAAAGACTCTTGCGTAGCGGTGTTCGTCTTTGAAGCAAGCCAGACCCGCGATCACTGAAGAAGATTCCGCCTGATCTACAGCGAGAACCACTCGATCTTCTCCGTGAAGAGAGCGTTGCCTTCGACCTAAGAAGGATACAGCAGCTGAGGGTTCGGAGAGGTCAGTTGAAGATGCTCGGATGGTGACCTGTCGAGCATCGTCACTGATTTGATAGGCGCTGAGGTCTGGGTCGCGTAGGTAGACTAAATCAACCGTGGGATTCAGGCGAGAGGGAATGTTATCCTGTCTGCCCATACGAGGAAAAGACTCAATAGGCTGCTGAATCACCGGCCATGAATCTCCGGTAGACCATTGGACTGGCGTCAGGAAGGTTTCACGGCCCATTCCGTATCGTCCCTGCTGGTCCTTTCGAACAGCTAGGCACACGATCCACCAGTTGCCCTGCGTACCCTGGACCAGATCTCCATGGCCGTTGTGTTGGATATATTTGTAGCCGCTGCTGCCAGGGCTTGGCGCCAGAACGGGGTTGTTAGGACAGTCCTCGTACGGCCCCCAGAGGTCTCTAGAGCGGGCAGCCGAAAGCTGATGTCCTTCGAATGTTCCGCCCTCGGCAATGAGGAGGTAGTACCAACCATCTCGCTTGTAGATGTGAGGGCCCTCGGGTGTAATCTTGCTTGAGCCAGTCCACATGAGTCTCGGGGGTGCAAGATGCTCGCCGGTATCGATGTTGATTTCAATGCCATGGATCGTGGGCTCCTCCACAAGATCCTTGCTCCATAAACATCCAGCGATAAAGACTCGACCGTCATCATCAAAAAAGAGGTCTGGGTCAATACCCCAGAAGTCTACATAGACCGGGTCGCTCCACTGGCCAGACGCGATATCATCAGTGGAGATGATGAAATTCTTTGTCTTGACAAGCTCGGAAGGATGAGGCGGCTCCTCACCGGGCTTTAGCTCTGGATCCACGTGACAAATATTTGTGCAGATGATATATGTCCTCCCACGGTGATGACGAATGGTTGGAGCCCAGAGGCCTCCTGTTTCAACAATGACATCGCCGGGAGGGCCATCTAGGTGGTGAATCCGTGTAGTAGCTGCCGACAGGGAAAGCTGAGACAGCCGGTTAATGGCGTTGCCTATGACGGTCAGTAACCATTATTTCGTACCCACGAACGACATGGTCCATATAAGATAACCACGCACCAATGTGTTCCCAGGATACAAGATCCTTTGAAGCAAAGATGGGCAGACCAGGGAATAGATGGAAACTCGAGTTGACAAGATAAAAGGTGTCGTCGATACGGACAACTGAAGGATCCGGCGCGAAGCCGGGAATAATGGGGTTATTCTCGCCCATGCTTCACCAATAAAGATAAAAAATTCTAGTGTTTTTTTTGGTCGAGAGGGCAGTAAAGTGTAAGGGAATTTGAGCTGCCTCTGAATCGCCTCAACAAAGTCACCGCTTTAAGAGAGGGCAAATAACCGTCCGGCTAAACAGAACAGGCCACTACTCGGGTAAAATGATCCCGAAGGCGGGGCAAGTGAATAAAGAGACCAAGGGGTGGCCTAGGAATGAGGGCAAGCTGCATGATTGCATATGCAGGTGACAGAATAGCACAATATGTTAGTGACTCGTCCTGAGGGGGTCAACGTAAATCCCGAGAAGAAAGCAAGTTGTGCTTGCTCATGTTCGAGCAGAAGCTCAGTAATTATGTGAGATTAACAACTGCCCTCTATTTCTTTGATTGTCGTTTTAAACTGGCCATAATTTAGGTAGGATCATACGAGATTATTTCTATGAGACGATCCATATACGGGATCTACACAAACAACCACAGTTTCAGATGAGGTCGATTTCCTCCTCAAAAACACCGGAGAATGTCCGTGGGGAGAACTTGGAAGCACTTCACACCGTACACTTGACTAATAGGTCTTTTGGTGCTTTAACGCGTCAAAGGATCCGCTGCGAATGGCTCTGCTCTGGACTAGACGCCGAAGGACTCCTTGTACAGGACAACAGTGCTGGCAACAAGATGATCATGGTGAGATCAAAGTATCTGAGGTTACCTAGTCTATTTCACACTTGCTTCCCCTGAAACATGCTAGTTTACTGGGGTACCGGTGGTAAGGTGGTACAGCCTCAGCGGCTTTCATGGCGCACCATGGCCCTTGTGTGAATCCCAGGGGCTGCTCTTGGCGCATTACTCTCGGTGTTCCAGGGCTTGATCGAAGCCGTAATCCCGCTCATTGGCCCTACGGCTAGCTTATCCTTCTTGGCTGCCAATCCGCCGGAACCAGTAGCCGTAAATGCTGCGATTGGCTCAATGCAAATGAGCGCCCAAGCTGATCAACCACAGCTGAACCTTGTTGCAATATCTATGCATGGTATTCAGCCAGAGCGGTTGATCCCGGTTAAAGTCTATTCGGTCTCAGCTATACCGATTAGCGATGAATGATGAGGGAAAAGACAATGGGTTTATCAACGCACCCAAAGCGTCTCATTATGGGCTTGCAAGCATCACTACTCAAGAAGCCTCAAAGATGACTGTCAAACTGTACGTTTCGGAGGATGAACCGTCAATAAGATAGCTTCAGGTAAACGGGAAGCCTTTCCTTGTCAGGGGAGCCGAGCTGCAAAACTAGTCACTTTCAAGTGCAGAACATATGGAACGTGTGTGGCCCACCATGACGGAAGCCAACATCAGCACTCTGCTTGGCTCGGTCGGTTGAGAACAGATTGAGCCTCAAGAGGGCAAGCTTGAGTTTGAGCAGCTCGATCTCTGCTTGGTTTCACCAGTGGGTAGCCACTAACACATATGAACTAGGTGCTTCGACGTACACACCGTCATGGGTCAAGACCAATCCAACACGTTTCCACCCAGTGCTGGTGAAGAACCCATCCAGTGGTGTGGATATCACTCACACTCTCTCGCCTCTGTCTTCTGAACTTGTGTCAGCCGACACCAAATCATTTACGAAATTGATGCAGCATCTGAAGCAAGTCGACCAAGAGCATTCTACTGTCACCATGGTTCAGGTTGAGAACAAGCCTGGACTTCTTGGGGGCTCCCCTAACTACTCTTCGTTGGCCAACAGAGCGTTCACGTCCCCATTGCCTAAGGACCTGGTTGGCTGCTTGCGTGAGGACTGGGCGGTCTCGAAAACACTTTGAGAACAGAGCTTAGAGTCTTTAAAGACCGCCGGTCGGTATTTAGTCCCAACGCAATAGCAGATGAGCTGTTTATGGCATATCACTTTGCCAAGTATGTTGAGACTGTGGCAGGCAGCCTGCCCGCCCCCCTTGTACATCAACGCCTGGCGCAGTGCCTGAGAGGTAGATCTATAATTGCCCGCCTGTGACTGGTGGAGTATGACTAGGATGGCCGATGGCGGGGCAGTGAGGGGAGGTAGATCTGCGGGATACCCTCCACCGATATCGGAACTAGTAATGACTCTAACTGCAAATTACATAAGCTGACTCTAGTACTAAAACAGCCCTCTCTTCTCACACCACTCGAAAACGAATCCCGATGTGAGAAAATCTTGCTCGAGTTTCTCGGATTGGATTCTGCTGCTTGCTTGTCCAACATGTCACCACCGCCTAGCGACAGGGGCTACTCGCTCCCAGACCCAACAAGTGACCTACACTGGGGCGATTATCGTGGAGGTATTTTATTCTATGCCTACGGCATGACATAACATATCGCTCACCTGGTGTCTAGCCATTCACGAGATATTCGCATCCAATGCGAAGCGTGTGCCCGACAGGACATGTGTTATTGAGACTCGGAGCTCGAAGTCTCCTCAACGCACCTTTTCGTACCGCCAGATCAACGAGAGTTCCAACCAGCTGGCACATCATTTCATAACTCACGGCTGCAATGTGGGCGATGTCGTCATGATATACGCCTACCGAGGGTCAGTTGTCACTTGTTGTACAGTCACCCATCTCACTAACGACGACACAGCGTTGACCTCGTCGTTGCCTACATGGGTGCTCTCAAGGCTGGTGCAACCGTCAGCGTGCTTGACCCGCACTACCCCGCGGAGCGTCAGAAGGTCATCTTGGATGTCGCGAGACCAAGATTTCTCGTCTACATCCAGAAGGCCGTTGACGAGTTTGGCAAGCCGCCCGAGCTCGTTGAGGACTTCATTGCCAACACCCTCGACCTCAAGTCTGTCATTCCAGCCCTACATCTTTCCGACAGTGGTGAGTTGAGTGGCGGCCATCTCGACGGTCAAGACCAAGACTGCCTGGCAGCTCAGGCGTCCAGCAGAGACCAAGATCCCAACGTTGTGGTCGGTCCCGATTCCATTCCTACCCTGAGCTATACAAGCGGCAGCGAGGGTAGGCCGAAGGGCGTTCAGGGGCGTCATTTCTCGCTCACCTACTACTTCCCCTGGATGGCAGAGAGGTTTGGCCTTTCGGAGCGAGACAGGTTCACCATGCTCTCCGGCATTGCCCATGATCCGATCCAAAGAGATATTTTCACGCCGCTCTTTTTGGGTGCCGTGATAGTCGTCCCTCCAGCTGAAGTCATCACGTACGGATTGCTAGCCGAATGGATGCATGAGCACAAGACCACCGTCACTCATTTGACTCCTGCCATGGGCCAGATCCTTGTTGGTGGTGCCACAACTCAGTTCCATTCCCTTCGGAATGCCTTCTTTGTCGGAGATCTTCTCACTAAGAAGGATTGCAAGAAGCTACGCGATCTCGCACCCAACGCCACCGTCATAAACCTCTTTGGATCGACTGAGTCGCAACGTGCAGTGTCCTTTTTCGAAGTCCCAAGCAAGGCCAAGAATCCGGCCTTTCTTGAGTCCGTGCCGGATATCATTCCGGTTGGCCAAGGCATGAAGGATGTTCAGCTCTTGGTCGTTGACCGTGAGGACAGGCACAAGCTGTGCGGGGAAGGCGAGCAAGGCGAGCTGTGGATCAGGGCGGGAGGTTTGGCCGAGGGATACCTCGGCGATGACGAGAGGACGGCAGAACTAAACCGATCCAAGTTCGTTTCCAACTGGTTTGTTGACCCTGCCAAGTGGACACAGCAGAACAAGCACCAGGACCTCCCCCATTACAAGGGCCCGCGAGACCGAATGTACCGAACTGGTGATCTTGGCCGGATTCGCCCCGACGGAAGTGTGGAGTGTACAGGCCGGATTGATTCTCAAGTCAAGATCCGCGGCTTCCGGATTGAGCTGGGCGAAATCGATATCAACTTGTCCCAGCACCCGTTCGTACGCGAAAACGTCACGGTTGTTCGAAGAGACAAGGACGAGGAGCAGACCCTTGTCACATACTTTGTCCCAGAGACGAAGCGATGGTTCCAGCACCTCCAACCTCATAACGATGGGGAAGCCATCGAGCAGGAAATCGCCTACGAGACCATGGCTGGAATGCTCAGACGATTCAAGCTCTTGTCTGACGACTGCAAGAAGTTCCTGGCGGCCAAGGTCCCCAAGTACGCTGTTCCCAGCATGTTTATTCCTCTGGCCCGAATGCCCTTGAATCCGAACGGCAAGATTGACAAGCCCGCACTCCCCTTCCCCGACGAAGCAGATCTTCTTCAAGTCGCCAAGAGGAGGGCTTCGTCAGTGATTGCCAGCATGACCGACACTCAAGCTCGACTGGCCAAAATATGGGCAACAGTTCTTCCTAACCGCACGGCACGTATGTTTGTGCCTGAATCCAACTTCTTTGATGAAGGTGGCCACTCAATCCTTGCACAACAGATGTTTTTCCGCCTCAAGAAGGAGTGGAAGGATATCGATGTACCGGTCAACGTTATTTTCCGGTCGCAGACTCTCGAAGCCCTCGCCTCGGAGATCGACAGAGCCCAGGACCCTATTGGCCTGCGACTGGACGCGATGCCTCTCATCGGAGATGGCACCACGGAGGATGAGGCATATGCCGCGGATGCGAGGGATCTAGCGTCTCAGCTTCCCGAGTCCATCCCGCAAGCACCTGGGCCTCAGAGCTACACAGAGGCTGGGCCCACGGTGCTTTTGACTGGTGCAACAGGCTTCCTCGGCTCCTATGTCCTACACGAGCTCCTCGAAGGCCCTAAGAAAGCGCATGTAATCGCGCACGTCAGAGCCAAGGATGCAGCGGCAGGCTTGGCACGCGTCGAGGCGGCAACAAAGGCCTACGGCTTGTGGTCCCTAAGCTGGGCGAGCACAAACAGACTTGAAGTTGTGGTGGGAGATATATCCAAACCACGCCTCGGTCTGCTCGAGGAGACATGGGATCACCTCTCCAATACGGTAGACCTAGTCATCCACAACGGCGCCCAGGTCAACTGGATGCTGCCATACTCCAGCATGCGAGCGGCCAATGTGCTGAGCACGTTGGACTGCATCCGACTTTGCTCGACAGGGAAGCCCAAGCGACTGGCATTCGTCAGCTCAACCTCGACGCTGGACAATGACCACTACGTGCAGCTCTCTCGAGATGTCGAGACTGGCGTGCCTGAGGCTGATGACCTTGAGGGCAGCCGTAAGGGCCTTGGCACAGGCTATGGCCAGTCCAAGTGGGCGAGCGAGTTTGTCATTCGCGAAGCCGGGCGGAGGGGCCTTGTAGGAGCCATTATCCGACCCGGATACATCACAGGCGATCCAGCATCTGGTATTACCGTCATGGACGACTTCCTTGCCCGCCTATGGAAGGGCTGTCTGCAGGTGGGAGCGCGCCCTGACATTGCAAACACGCTCAATGCAGTCCCTGTTACGCAGATCAGCCGCATCGTCGCTGCGGCAGCGTTCCATCTCTCCGCTACTACTGAGCAATCACTGGGCGTGGCTCAGGTCACCAGTCACCCACGCTTAAGACTGAATGAGTGGATGGGTGCCCTCGAGCTGTATGGATTTGGCGTGCCCAAGGTACCGTACCAGGAATGGTGCACCAAGGTCATCGACTACACAAGTGACGATAGCAAGGAGGAACACGCTCTGCTCCCGCTGTTCCACTTTGTTACGGGCAACCTGCCCGCAAACACCATTGCTCCCGAGTTGGATGATAGCAATGCCGCAGCAGCTCTGCAGTCATATGATGAAGAGAACAAGAGTCGGGATGCAAAGTCTTCTCCGAGCAGACTTGATATGGATATCCTTGGCATGTACTTGGCTTATCTGGTTGCAGTTGGATTCCTGCCACCACCGACAGAGAAGGGCGAGCGTGAGCTGCCAAAGGTTGACGAGACAAGGCTGCAGGCCATTGCTGCAGATAGCTTGGGTGGTAGATCTGCAAGGCCGTAGATGTCATAAAAGGGATAGTAAAAGGACCCCTTCAGTGGGCCAATGTTTAAACGGGCATGACAACACTGTCGATTGATCTTGTTGAGGCGCGAGGGGCATGAAGATGCCGTTGTGTTACTGCAGGAATGACATGCACCCGGCCCCATCAACTTGAACCGGTACAATCACTCCAGACAAAGCCAGGTATAGTAGTGTATGTTACTGATCATAGCTGAGGTGCCGTGCTACATTGGCAATCATGTTTCATCTTGAGATATTGCACTAGCTGACAACCTACCTCGGATATGACGAATAGACACCATGCGAATAAGTATGAATGAGTTGGCGACTAACTCTGTGCGCAGGTATACACACGCCCAATTCTTCAATAATCAGCCTGCTTTTCTCGACCACAGTCGAACCAGTCCCTCTCTCTTCCTGGGAGCGGTCCATCCAAATTAGACTCCATCTCACGCCCAGAAAGAGTGCAAATATCAAATGGCATGATCTCGAGACTGAAAGGAGGTGGGCAAAGGCTTGGAGACTGATTCTACATTTTGAGTTTCAAAGGGGATAGTTTCATCAGTCCCTCATACCGGTAGGTCCTATTTGAGTTTGAAAATAGTCTATTACCTAGGCGCCTCTACATAGTAACTAGTATCCAACCATCTCTTGAAACCTAAACCCAGTTCTCCACTTGATAATATCATAAGCCATACTTCCACCAGGTCCATTGAATCGAGTCCCTGAAAACAAATGACGTTGTAATGCAACAAGCCCATGGAGGCAGCTACAGAGCCTTTGTATCAACTCTGTGGGTGTCTGTTAGCATTGGATGGGCCAAGTAGTAAAGGCGAGCAAGGGTCACTAACCCATCAAACTGGGACCCTACTCCAAAGAGTTCAAGGTCCATCGCAGCCTGGGAACGACTACCAGCAATGCTACCAGTAGGGACAGCATGACCTTTTGGTGGGGGGGAGCCTCGACGGCATCTCATGCTGGATGTCTCATCCTTGGCCCCGCTAGAGAGAATGATGCTTGCAAGAGTTAGTAAGAGTGTGTATCTGGGACAGCTGTAGCATACTCATTGCTTCCTGAGTTGTGTGTCTGAGGGTCCATGTTGGGTGTAGGTGACAGGTGAGGGAGGAAAGAAAAGGTGGTGGGGAGCGTGGTGTCGATGATGGGGATTGGGGTAGAGAGAATTGTACTGAAGAGGGATGGAAACAATAGAACAATGACAAGTGATCGAGGGACCTTTTAACGTTTCCAGGTCTCTTTTCCCTCGCCTACATTCTTCGCCCGACAATGGTCTTCTCATGCCAACAGCAAGCCATTCTCGCTCCCGTTGTTTAAGGCATCCCTACTCTACCAGGATTCAGCTCGGTCAATGCACCAGAGACTGATATCAATTGGACAGTCTTCTTTTGGTTTCAGGCATACTGCAACTGATCACTCTCTTGCCCTGATTACGTAGCTGGCAGATTCGATGGTGAATGGACAGTCACTTTTTGCAAAAGAGGCCAAAGCCTCGTTGTCGTGAGGCGAAACGCAACGGGATGCGCGGTGACAATAAGGGGGGGTTGCTGCGGCCCACTATGGCTTCGAGCCGCATTGTTCATTGGGCTTTAATCTTTTGCAATGCTGCACATGGCATGGCGGTGACTTGATTTGGATTTGCAGTGCACTGCCAGCTGACGACTGGCCAAGAATCTCACGCATTGGCAGGTCATGATTGGCTTTTCATCTTTTGTATCTGTCGTGATTGGCCCGTATTCTTTTGCAAACCGTCGAGGCACCCAAAAGGCAACCACATGTCCGCGAACCATGGGTTATTACACAGGTAGGCAGGCATTGACGTATAAGAAGGCTCCCAGAACGTCTTTCCTCAAATCATCCAACACTCTCCATAAAGTCCTCAACATACTTTGCATAAACTCATCAACTACTCTCCACAACCTCATCAATCGCTTTTCACAAAATCTTCAATACATTTGACAAACATCCCTCTCCGATATCGTCCAGTGCAGTTTCTCTTTACCTACTACCTCTTGTCCCCATCCAGCCTTCTTCTGACCTCTTCTTTATTGCGCTGCTTTCGCAAATACACGCCTGCGTACCCCCACGCTCGCTGCCTTCACAGTTCAAAGGTCCTCCTCAGCCTGACCTCGTCAAGATGAATTCGGATCCCAAGTTCTTGCACATCCCGTACAACAAACGATGGGAGTACTTGAAGGACACCATCATGCAGCTGTACCTTGAGGAGGGTGAAAAGGTTGATCAAGTGGCCTCCAGAATGAAGTTAGAGTATTCTTTTGATGCTTTGTAAGTCCCGATCCCAAACTGGGCTCCCGGTACCTAGGTAGATACTAACCTTGACATGGAGGCCGAGTGCCTATAAGTATCAGTTTCGAAAATGGGGCATCAAGAAAAGCACTTCTTCCAAGGTCAAGGCACAGGTTGTCAACACGCAATTGAAGAGGAAGAGAGCGAGCACTTCTGACCTCACCATCGTTGAAGGCGGGCGTGAGAAGCCATTGGACAAGAAGAAGCTGAAGCGCTACCTCGAACGTCGCCATGGCCTCGTCTTGACAAGCGGGATGTAAGTTCTCTGAGCAACAATCCTCAAGCCCATTGCTGATTACTTACTCTCCCTAGCTTCTTGCGCATGAATCTTCCATACAACGCCCTTGTTGCCAATTTCATCCACCCAGGCGGTCCACCGTCGCCATTTGCTTTCGTCTCCCAGTCTCATCCCAACTCTCCAGCAAACATCATAGTCAACAGCCCCGACAACCATCGCACTCCTTCTTCTCAACCAGTTGGGCCTTCACCAACGACCCAGCTGATACGAGATAAAGCGCATCTTGAAAGAGCAGATCTGTTCATCAAAGGGCAGTATCAGGAGTTGCTGCTCCAACTAGACCGGGACGAGCGCAAGTGAGTATCTATGAGTTAAGATGGATGGTTTCATGACTAACTTTATTCTCAACATAGAGTTGTGGCGGACTGGCTACATGACTTCTGGATTCATTCCTTCATGACCGCCAAGTACTGGGGTAGAGGCCCCGAAACCTGGACTCCTGGCCTCATTGCTGCAAAGACCCTTGGTTCAGTCGAGTTGGAAGGCTCAGCTGCTACTCCCGGCGACTCAACATCCATACCTGGAGCTTCTCGCATCGCAGTTGACCCACCCTCCCAACTCTGTCGATGGAGTATCCACTACGACACAGACGTAGAATATGAATCTGTACCATCACCACCACCCGAGAATGACAACGAGCAGGATATCGAGGATGAGTCAACATGGCTGCCATGGGATGCTTCTCGTGGTCACCCCACCCCTGCAGACACAATGAGATCGGCACTCTCAGACAACAGTTTCTCACGCATCGACGAGCACGACGTCCCACTATCCACATTATCGATAACGAGGGCGGTACATCGTTCTCAGGACCAGATCGAGGTAGACTCGTGGGGATTTGCCATCATGGCAAGGAATCTAGATGCTCTGGGAAGGATGAGGCCTACTGAGAGCTTGAAGCATATACACCCATTTCACCTTGCTGCGTCACACTTGGATGGAGCTCATAACTGCTGCTTGGTCCTCAATTACCTGCATTCAGCTCTGGAATTTAAATGTCCCTTGGAAGACAACTATACGAACGATCTCGGGCATACAGTTCTCGACTCTTTCATGATAAACATTCTTCGATCACACACTTTGATGAAACCCAGCGAGGTCTGCCGCAGCTTCGCAAAACAAAACCGGTTTCCTGGCGAGGAGGTGGACATCTGTGGGCGATGGGACGCTGACTCGAGGTGTATCCGACAACTCTACGCTTCAGGCAGATGCACGGTTCCGTTCGAATGGAAGCATCCCTACTGTCACACCTCGGTCCAGGCCATTTGTCACTCAATCATAGCCCTTTGCTTGTCAGACTACGGTGTCGATATCAATATCTCCAGTGGTTTGTTTTCAAAGAGTTGTTCCTGCTGTCGCAAGGACCTGAAGCTTAGACCGCTCCATACCCTAGTTATGGTGGCATTCTATCTGGGAGACCGTGGAGTCCCGGGGGAGACCATGTTTGGCGTGATTGCAACTTTGAGCTGCATGCTCGCCGCCTACGCAGACCCTACCATGGCTGCTGACATATCTGTTTCTGAGCTATTTGGGACTGGGGCTGGAGCTGATGCGGGTGAAAACTGCACCCATAGCCCTGTCACACCTTCAGAACTTGCCTCAAGCGTGCCGGATGAGATCCTCAAGTCCTGGCCGCATGAGCGACAGCTTGGTTGGAGAACATTCGTTGCCGTATTGGAGTTTGCTGTTTCTGAATGGGTTGAACCAGATGGGTGGAAGATCATAGATGGACTTTCTCATAGCCGTGGTCTTGGAGTGCTTTGGGCAGCGTCCCAGACTGAGATGCTGACCTACCGTCGAATCAAGACTATTGACCCCTGGGTCTCTGACAGATTCAACATTTACCAGTTACTGCAGGGCCTCGAAGATGGATTGGGGCCAACCAACATCCCGCTCTACAACAACGGCTTAATGCGGTCTTTTAACACCGGTGGCTGGTTCAAGGGGTCGGAGTCCTACCCGGCCACTCAAGACGTATGCAAGGACTACTTTATGAACTTGGAGGACTGGGGCCGTACAACATTTATTGATATTGCAGAAAAAGTGAGGAGGTTTTGATGATGGTCAGTAGTTCATGATCATAATAGCTAGTAAATGTATGGGTAGTTTTTAGGTAGGTTTATTCTTAAGCTCTTCTCATTCTCTTCATTATGGTGGCCCTTGGCTTCTGTAAGGTGTACCCGACTATGATGATCACCCCTCACGTTGCGCGGTCTGTCTGAGTCGGGATGTGCCAGTTGCACAAAGAATAAAGTTAGAGAGTGCACAAAACATGCACGTCTATTTCCCAAGGTGATGCTTTGAAGCGAGATGAATCTCATGAGCCGAAATGAAGAGCGCGTTCAAGGTGGAGGGCGTCAGTGGGTCGGTCCGACTTGGCGGCGGCTGCCTAATCAGCCCCCTCACACCGCCCGGCAGAATCCATCTATATAGCTCCGCCTCGCATCCAGCCTTTGCTTGTTTTTCTCTTTTCTTCTTCATACTTACCTTATTCCGATTTACCTCGCTCAAGAATGAGGGAAATCAGCGTGGAGGGCCTGCATTGCACATCGCGGAGTCGCTCCATGCTCCATTGTCCTTCGGGGCCATGGGGGGTGTAATTTTTGATTTATCACATGTTTTCATTGTGCACTCGGCTTGATGCTGGGACATGAGGAAGACTGAAGTGTGGGCGACTGAACCATGTACGAGGAAAGAGACGTGACAGCTGTTGGGTGTTGGAAGTCAACGTGGCGTTCACTAAGTAAACAGGCTCGCGTGGAGAGACGCGTATGTTTTAGTGTTTGCCGTTGACGAGGTGACAGGATTTGCCACTTCAACACAAGGCATCATCACCACGGGACAACAGCATCTTATCGACATGGGTTCTACAGGTCATTTTACACATGGTGATTGAAGAAACGTTGCTCGCATTCATTGATCGTGCAACTTGTTGTAAATAATAACCCAAATGATCCTACACTCCATACCAATTCATATCCTAATATCATTACAGTCTCCCATTCCTTCCATCATAGCCTTGTCCTCCATCACTGCTTCTTCCATTCTCCGGCATTCTCGACGCCCTTGGAGACGCTGTCAAGTCCGCCCTGGACGCCGGTGCCCAGGTTGCCCACCGCGTCGCCGACGGGACGGCCAAGGTCACCGGTAGCGGCTGTCAGGGTGTCGCCAACGCCTCGGGTCGCAGCGCCGGTGACGTTTCCGACTGTACGTCCAAGGCCGCCGACCGTGTTGCCCAGCGTGCTGGTGAGGAACTGAGCGGCTCCGGTAACACCTTCGGTGGCCGAGTCGGCCGTGTTCTTCTTATCGTCGGTCAGACCCATTGTGGATGTGTTTGTTTGGTAGTGGTAGGTGGTTTGTTTTGAAGTTGGTCTTTGTTGTAGATGGCAAATGTTTGCTTGATGATCTGGTAGAAGATTCTGTTCTTTCCGTGGAAGCTTTCGCCTCTTTAAATCCCCTTGGTGGCACCCATCTCAAGATCTCGCCCAGGTGAAGCAGGTCGAATTACATCACCATATGACGTCAACCAGGGCTGTCATCTCGACGCCTCGATTGGATTCACAGGATCGACAATTAGCCGTCAACCACACCCCAGGAGCTCTAAAATGACGTCCTTGGACACATAATTACGCGGTCAGCGTTTGAGAAATCGCCTGGAGGTGCCCATGTTTGCGATATTATAGGGTAGCCGAGGTCCGGCTAGCATCATCTCGAGACCACGGCGTCGTGAGGCTTGATGTCATTCTCCGAGAGGCGTCACTCTCACGGTAAACTTATCGTGAAAGGCATTGTTCGGGGCAGATGACGACAGAGAAGAAACTAGATGGACATTCCTAGGCCAGAATGAAGATGATGAACTAACATTTCCACGACCAGCCCTCAACAACCTCCACGTTCCATCAATAGCGTCATTCAAGTCTATAACATCAGCGATTATCCACTGGCATGCAACCAGCCCCAGAAAAGATCGGAAACTGAGCTTTGCAATGGACCGCCAAGCCTTTGAGTTTGTATTTGAGCTCGAGACAGTTGCTTCTTGGTGGGTGGTGACGGAACTGCCCGTAAGCTCGTTGACGAGGCGATAGTCAATCTGCGAGATGCTTTTGCGCTCGGAAGGGAAGAGAGGAGAGCCACAGACACATGGTTGACTCGTGGATAGCTTTCTAGATCCGATCTGGCCGATTCTTCACCGGCAGCATCATACCGCTGGGTTGGATCAACGCCAGAGTGAGAGGTGCCTCGGCTCTGTGAATCAGTAGAACTCGTTCGCCACTCTTTGACGGCATGAGATCCTAAACAGACGGTTTACTGAATTGATGCACACTTCACAGTCCGCTTCCTGGATGCCTGCCTCCTGGTTTGCCCTTCAATAATGGGATGTTGTCACGCTTGACAACCCCTCAAACACACATATGCAGCCGCCCACAAGACCAAACCCAATCACGCACGACAACTAGACAAGGGAACCAGGCTGTCGTTTGTTTCGAAGCCCCTCATGATGTCACTTCAAGGTGGTGCCTCAATCCCCCCGCACTTCCGCCTGCCCAAGGAATGATAGTGGTGGGCTGTGAGGGAGATGTGTAGTTCCTTGTCTTCTTCCTCCGTCCCTTGCCCTTATGCACGATTTACTAGCTCTAAAGAATGGAACTGATCTCTGGACAGAATCTGTCCATGTCGAACAAGTTGACCCAACTCGAAACGGCTGCGGCTATGGCGAGGGGGAAGTCTCCCTTGAACCCTGCGAGAACCAAGGCCCCTCGAGGAGTTGCAGTGACTCCGCAATGAAGGAAGCACTTGGAAGAGGCCGTCAGAGGCCGGCATGACACTAAACGTTGCTGAACGGTCACTAGGTCGCTGCAAGTCCTAAGCAAGCGTGGTGAAACCATCGTCGCCCGCCCCGGATTTGTGCACTTTACCCAGACCAACCTGCACATGCCTTGGTCGGGTCCTCACACTTTGGAGAAAGAATGCAGCAACCTGCTTGGAACGAGAGAGAATCTGTTGGCTAAAGGGAACCCATGTTTATGCCCCCCTGCATGATGACGAGGATGACGGGATGCACTGGAAGAATCTCAGAAGGGCACGAGGAGGCTCGACCTATGGCTCGTCAGAGGACTACGGAACTAAGGCCCCCAAAGCACATGCCATATTTTTCCCAGCAATGAGCAAGTCGTGGGGGTCCCGGGATGGTGCAGTTTCGACATCTTGTCAACTTTCCCAGGCCTAGTTTCAACATGTTGATGACGACTGTTGCCAAGTACTGCCGCAAAACAGGCCCTTCACAACGACATGACAAACCATGGCCCCTAACTGCCGTGAATACTAGTGATTATCTGCCTTGGACATGGCTCCTCCGTTAGAAGCCTTGGAGCGAGGTCTTATATCGCTCATAAGACATCTTCTCCAAGGAGAGGATCATCACATTACTACACATGCATTTGAACAATAAACATGGCCATGCAGAAATGGCGCAAAAAATGCCTTTGACAAATTACTTGAACTGAAAGAAAAAAAAAACAAGGGCATGATCGCCCGGCTTTTAATGGTCTATCTCAAACTAGAAATGCAACCCGCTCCTTAACCAATATTAAACTCGTCAGCAGCGGAATTCATCAACATCATGCTCTTCTTCTTGATGAGGTTCTGGTTCTGCCACTCGTCACCACCCTGCTGATCCTGATCCTTCTCGACGCCCCTGTTGTTGCGCTTCTTCGTCTTCCTCTCCACGCCGGCGCCGATACCACCCGGCGCCTCTCTCAGTCCGTAGCTCTTGGCCGTGTGTCCCAGGTGTAGCTCCGAAATGTCAAAGTGCTTCCTCTCCTCCTTAGTGTGGGTGGCATACGCCCTGATGTGGGACTTGAAGCCGTTTCGGGCGAGTTCGAGTCGCTTCGTGTCTTCGAGGAGGCGCTGCTCGATGTGTAGCTGGAGACTCTCGGCCTTGTCGTGGTAGGAAGTACCGTCGTCAGGCTTGGCAGATGTTTCGACGGGGAACTCGAGCTTGGTCATCATTCCCTTCTGCAAGATTGTGTCATAAGACTGGGGCGTAGGGGGCGTTGATGACTTGAGAAGCTCGATATAACCCTCCTCTGTTCCGGGGAGAAGGAAAAGGAGGGCATCACCGGGCCTTCCAGCTCGAGCAGTTCGACCAACACGGTGGATATGATCCGCAAAGCTGAAAGCAGGATCATATTCGATAACCAGATCAACAGATGGAATATCGAGACCTCGCGAGGACACATCGGTGGTGATCAGGAGAGAGGGCGACTTGCAGGCCGAGAACGACCGTAGAGTAGCTGTTCGCACCGGTTGCGACAAAGATCCGTGCATTCGGTGCAGAACGACCTCGGGGCTTGCGGGTGACGTGATATACGCTGCCTTGGCCACCGTCTTGGAGATCGACTCCGCCTCTTTCGAAGATGCCACAGGCGCCTCGGCATTGTTAGGATCCCGCAACATCTCGTAGTGAAAGTCGACCGAGTCTGCGCAAGAGATAAAGATGATTGCCTTCATAGTCTTTCCTCGCCGGGAAAAGGTGGACTTGAGGTAAGATATCAAGGTGACGAGACGAAGCTTGGCGGGAACAATCGAGTAGTACTGGTGAAGCTGTGCCGGCGCCGTCATGGCCGTTTTGTCCATATCCACCTCGCCCTCCTCCTTCTTGGCTGCCAGGAACGTCGCGTCTGCCAAACTCATCTCTCCAAGCTTCTGCACGTTCATCTTCATAGTAGCCGAGCAGAGTACAGTGACTCTCCGGTCAGGAAGAGACTTGAGTGGTGTCCCATTGGCGAGCTTGTCCGAGACATCAACCTTGCGGAGGGCTGCAATAGTCTTCTTCAAGTCATCTTCGAAACCCAAGTCCATCAGACGATCTCCTTCATCCAGAATCAACCATCGAACAGTACCGAGATCGAGAGCCTTGGTGTTGTCAATGTGGTCGGCAAGTCGTCCAGGTGTTGCGACCAAAAAGTTAACGCCCTTTCTTATGCGCGCCTTCTCAGCCTTCTTCGACTCTCCTCCGGTGATTGCTGTCGAGACGAGCCAGGGGAACGGCCGAATAAGTTGTTCCAGTACGGTGTGAGTTTGCTTGGCGAGTTCGCGAGTAGGTGACACGATGATGGCAAAGACTCCAGAGTCGCGGTGAATCTGAGCCTTGCCCTTCTCACTGAGGAGCAGAACGCGATGCAAGATCGGCAAGAGGTAAGAAAAGGTCTTTCCGGAACCTGTCTCAGCTTGCACGAACGCATCTGAGCTGTTTTCCAACATGTGAGGAATGACCTTCTTTTGGATGGCTGTGGGACGCTCCAAGTTCATCTTCGCCAGCTCATCGACAAGGCGGGCCGATAATGTCAAGGTGCCAAAGCTGGCAACATCTGAGAGAGGAGCATTGGTCGGCTCCGGGGCAGTCCATTCTGATTGCTTTTCCTCCAGGTCTGTCTTTTGGGCTGGGTTGTAAGAGAAAAGCCGTGAGATGACCTGTCTTCCCTTGTCCGCATGAGGGTTTCGAGGTTGGCCTGAGGCGGAAGATCCTTGGGCGTCGGTGTCTGCAGGCTTTGGTCGTGAAAAGCTCCTAGGGTCTGCTCTGTAGTCTGAATGACCATATCCTCCATGATCCGTTCTCTGGCGTTTCGTCGATCTTTGCTCATCAAATCCATCTTCTGTAGGCTTCGGCTTTGAGCCCAACCTCGCCGACTTTTCGGCCTGTTTCCTATCACGCCAGCGACCACCCTTGAACTTGACTTGAGGCTTAATGGGTCCAGACCCCAGCTCAAAGTTCAGGAGCATCCCATCGTCAGCCATGGTTGCGGTTGTTGTTTGAGTTGGTTGAGGTGAGAGGTGGGGCTTGCACTCGACATCTTGAAGCTTGGGATATTTTTTTTTCTTCCTCTCTCCTTGGGGCTTATCGATAAGCTGGGTGGACACCATGTCGACCACAGCAGTTCTAACCGCTTTAGGAATGCGGGTCTTTGCTGTGATGCTTCAACTCAAGCAAGGCTGGTCTACATTTTGATGTGCTCTTTTCTCACTGTCACGACACTAAACCTGAATAAAGGAACAGTATACATGGAAGATTCTAGTGTCAAGATTATAAATGAATGACGGCTAATTTTTCGGGATTTCTTCAAATCGCGATTTGACCCTTTCTCACCTTGCTTCGATAGGTGTCTGGAGCAGGGCCTTTAGGTCAAAAATGAAGTTATTGTTCAGACTTCTTGGGAGAGTCAGTATATGACGCTGGCATGGACCTGGGTCTCGGTACTTATAGGGAGATACAATTTAAAATACCTCAGGCAACACAGCAGGTGCGAGCACTTCCTTCTGAAAGATGCAGCTCAACATCTTGCTCAGTGAGATGTTGGTGAGACCAGCCTCGGGCGACACTTGACCGACCTGCTCCTTGGGAATGACAACCATGGGTCTATCGATAAGATCTTATCGATCTTACCACCCATGTTGTACCAGGCCCGAGTTGTCAGGAATGGGGCAGCCACAATGCCATCCATGATGATTTCAGATGCAATTGAGCTCCGTCGTAAATCCGAGTATAGATTGCCATGACGAAAATAGTTGTCTCATGACCGTCAAAGCGGAAACTCCATGGGGAAAAGACTCGAGTTTAATTGCAACCTCAAAGAAAGTCCCTGACTTTCCCGAACTTGACCTGTCAAGTGACCAAGATCCTTTGAGTCATCTCACTAGGAAAGCGCCGAGATTGCGAAAATGAGTTGTCGTTGAAGTTGACGAATACAACGGGATGACGCAGTTGGATACGAGGCGGGACAACGAGGCATATTCTCAATCCCGTAGAGTCTCGAACCCCGGATTATAGCGCGTAAGCAAGGACATACAAGGGAGGCGCGCGGATGCAGAGTGATGCAACCGCCATTGTGACACGGTTCGCATTTCAGGAGAACCTGATTGCAGGCGATATACTCCGTAATCTACGCACTGTACCTGACAAAAAGGTTGTGAACAATCTAAGCCGATGCTACACTTGTTGACACATAACTCGATCAGGCAATTGGAAGAACCGTCATGAATCTACAGCAAACTTCCGGCTTTTCAAAGGCTCAACATGGTTCCTCAGTTCAATATCTTTCAACCATCACATGTTGAAGGTGTTTGTTGTTATTATCGGACATCGGACTGTTCCATCAAGCCGATAGGAATCAAGAAGGCCATGCACGACGTCAAGGATCCAAATGCAAGACGGTGATTGATGGAGTTCGGACCGGGGCAAGTGAAAATGCCGATGCGCCTCATTGCAGCTTACAGCCGCTCGGGCTCGGCTAAGCAGCCAAAGAAGGGGACCTTGGAGAGACGAGAGGCAAGGGATATGTCAGCCAGCAGTAAAGTCAGTAAGACGGGGCTCCGTGACATCCGGGCATCGACGGGAGACGGGTCTTTTTCGTCGTCGGCCCTGTTGCCTGGCCATGTGACGGGAACAAATTGAAAACTGCAGCCCTGTGGTTCCCAGCGGTTGGAGCTAGGTAGACTTGGTGCTGACGTTGCCACATTGTTTTTTTTTTCTCGCTTGTGGTTCTTTTTTTTTTTCGCCTTTTGCCCTGGGACTGTGGCTAGGGCAGACGGAGTTCAGCTAGAGTGCCCGGATGGCAACCCGGGGGGTTGTGTCTTGCAGACATCGGAGTTAACCGTAGATTTGGTGGTGGACTAATTACTCTACTGTACTGATGCTAAATTACTGCCAGTCATGACTTCGTTTCACTTTCTTGCAACGTGGTTGTAGATGATACTTGGTAATTTCCCAAGGTCTGCCACACCTTCTCCAGATTTTCAAATCTCCCACACCGAGGAGAGAAAAAAACGTGGATGATAGCCGAGGAAGGTTGTGGCGGCGTATTGCTTTTGTCGATATCCATATCATGATGAATGGACTGCCCCAACTGGATCCACCTCTGCAAGACTGAACACGAGGGAGAGCTGAAAAAAAGAACACTCATGGACCAGGACAAATAAGAAACGGTCAGGAAGAGCAAAAATTATGAAATCCGAAATTGGATTGACGATTCACAGCCCTCGATTGTCAAGCCTCGAGGTGTCCTCTCCAGGACGGGGCATCTGGGAGAGACCCGACAGGCTGGACGTGGAGTTCCGGCTTCTCCCTTGGGTCCCCACCACCAGCGGGAAGACGAGGTCAGGGCCCGTCCATTGAGGCATGGCACAGCATGGTAGAGAGGCTAGGGCAGCGGGCAGCCAAGGAAAGTCTAGGACAGCTGCACCGGTTTGTTCTCGCCCCGGCCACCACCACGGACGGAGGCTTGGGGGCAGAGGGTGGTCAATGACCTCGAGACCCCTGATGATGCGTGCTCGACTCCGGCATCCTGGGCCCTGAAGGATGGATCTGCGTACTGTAACTGTCAAAGGAATCAAGAGTCAAGCACGAAGGCGTGCCGTCCAGCCTGTTGAAATTTGTCGTCATTTTACGCGCATGCCATGTTGTGGCCTAGAAGTCTACGTAGGTCGCGTGCGTGGAGGAGACCTTTCAACCACCAAGCAGAGGACAGAGATATCAGGATCAAATCAATTTCACGTGTGCGTGGTTTCTGGCGCAAAGTGCGTGCTGCGCTGCATTTGACTGGGGGATCCTACATATGGAGAAAAAGCAATTGACAGAGATCGTCCCAAAAAGCAAGCAAGCAACACAGCGAGAAAAAAAATTGTTGCATGCCGACTAAAATCCACCGGTGATAGGATTCGGTGAAAGGTGATAGGCTGAGGGACAAGACGCAACGACGCCCTTCCAACCGATTCCTTCTGATAACCAGGATCCTCTTTCTCTCTCTGGGATGCTCGTCTGCATGCACGCAGAGGCCTAGCATGGGCATCCAAGCGTCCATTGCAGTCCAGTCCATCAAAGTGGAAATTGATCCATGGCCGCCTTTCCCCCGCGTCTTGACAAGAAGCACTTGACCTGCCAGAAACTGCTCTTCGGGAGCTCTAGGGAGCTTATCAAGGTAACAGAAAAAGAGGCGGAGGATGATCAACACCAAGGCGACGAACCAGGTACAACAACGGCTTGAGTCATTCCAGAACCTCGCCCACTGAACGCCTTGTCTCCGAGCCCACCCACAGCAGAGGAACCCCCCTGTCGACACACCCACAGAAGGGCCACAGCGGGGTCTTCTGTACGCACACAAGCCGCCGCCTCCGCCGCAGCCAACGCCCGTCGCCCTAACTCCGCGCCCCGAAAAGGCCGCGGAGGCATCATCGATGGCGGACAGAAAAAAACTGCCCGGCCGGTGTCGTAGCGGTCTAGCCCACTGCGGAGGGAGCTCACCTTGGGTGGTGGCAGCGCGAGTCGTCCACTGTAAAGCTGTCGGTCGTAGGGCGGGTTTGAAGAAATTTCCCCACACTCGGTGACCTCCCTCTTGCCCTCTGACGCATCCATTTTGTCGCAACCTCGATCGCAGTTGCCATTTACCGTGGCAGGTACGGAAGGTACGTAGCTCTCTGTATCCACACCGCACCCTCAGGCAAAGAAAAAAAAGGCAGCCGCCCCCCCGTCCCCGAGGCCCGGGTCCATGCCGAATCCCACATCCTCGTCCTCCAGCAGGTCAAACAATCCTAGACGAACACTTTTTTCTTCGATCTGCCTCCAGCCATTTCTTGAATTCTTTTCCCTTCACATTTTTGCTCTTTCTTCCTCCCCTCTACAATTCCTTCCCTATTCTGGCCTGCGCGTTTGTTTGACGGCTTGGGAGCTGTCAAATGAACCTGCAATCGTTAATCATTTCTTTCCTCTAATGTAAGTTGTGCATTCTCATTTTCCGCTGGTCCACCACACCACTTCCCTCTCCGCGCGCCCACCGAGATCTCATGGCCCGACCACGATCTCATAATCGTTCGACGTGATTCCGGCTTTGCTCTTCCTCAGGCACAACCCTCAATGGCGTTTCACTATACTCGAGACGCAGCTTCATTGCTTGCTTGTTTCCCCTCTGGTTCCTGTTGCTGATGTAGAGGCTCCGCAGTCCTCCCCCGCCAGGCGTCTTTCTAAATGCCCACCATATACTCCTCCCTTTACTCGAATTTCGTCCGTCAAGGATCAACATTCGCCAAGTCGATCACCACACACGGCTACGCTCAATCACTAGTCGCTGCCACTCACCCTCACGTCCTCAATTCGCAGAACCGACCCGTCTTTGTTCGACGAAAGACCAACCGCCTCGGCCGCTTCTCTAACCTCCAGCTTCACTCCGCCTTCCACACTGAGCGAACAGCAACCTCGGGCCTTCCCGCCGTTGAGCACCGTCTCGAGAACCATGGAGGTTTAGACGCCTACTTCGAGGCCTTGCAGGAGCAGCAGGCCACCGGTGAAGTCGATGCCGAATGGACCCAATTCGACTTTCCTAAGCGCATTGAGTGGAAGCCCACCGCGGCCTCCATTCTCACCAAGGATAAGGCGTCTGCCCAGGATGCTGAACAGGCGTTGATCGAGGAAGAGGAGAGGTCCAACCTCTCCTTTGAGGACCAGGCAGCTCTCGCTCACATCGATGCTGCCCTCGAGCGGGAGATTGAGGCGCGAAGTCTTCAAGAGGCGGCTGAGAATGCCGTCGCTGCGGGACGACCAGCTTCTGCTCTTGACTTTGAGTCACGATCTCCTGTGGTTGAGAGGTCACGAACTCCCGCGAGTGTCGCTCGCAGCGCCACCCCGCCGGTCGACCCTCAGTCACAGTCTTATGCCGACCACCTCCACAAGCTCGCTGAGGGTGGTCGATATGCTGAGATCCCGGCTGTCTTCGAGGCCATGCTGGCCACTGGCGTCCAGCCCATTGCTGGTGCCTACAATGCCCTCCTCCTGGCTGCTATCCACATCCCCATCAAGAAGATTGAGATCGTCTCCAAGGCTCTCGATGTCTACGCTGATATGCTCCGAAGGAGGGTGTCGCCTGATGCCGATACCTTCAACATTCTTGTTGGTCTTCTGGCCTCCCGATGCCTCGAGGTGGCCGAGCTGAAGGCCATCCTGGAGGACAAGCGCGCTCGATTCGGCGGAATGGATGAGCCTGGCAAGTTCATGCTTGGATCCCACGAGCTTGAGCATGCTATTCTCTGCGAGGACGACCGACTCGATCTTGCCATCAAGCTGTTCGACACCTCGGTTGACAGCGAAGCTGCCGAGTACTCTGCCGAGACTTACCATCAGCTGATCACTGCCTGTGCAAAGGCTGGTCGCGTTGCCGATATGCTCCGTCTCTTCGAGCACATGGAGGCCAATCAGACAGTCCCCTTCGCGGCAGTCTTCCCCACCATGATCACTGCGTTTGCTTCGTCCGGCGACCTGATCAGTGCTGTCGAATGCTACAACGAGTACCGCAACCTGGCCATTGCTCACGATGAAGGACGCGATACCCTTCATGACCGACTTGATGCCGAGGTCTACGCCGCGGTCATCAACGCCTATGTGGTGACCGACAAGATCGAGGGTGCTATGAAGTTCTTCAAGAAGATTGTCGACGAGTATGGTGTTCGTGCTGCTGACATAAAGGATGCTTTGGTCACCACCGGCTTTGTCAAGGGTTTCATTACCCGAGGTATCTACCAGGAGGCATTCCACTGGGCTCAGGCCGTAGAGGCCGAGTCTCGTGCAAAGGCCATGGGCGAGATTGCCACCATTGCCGCTGACAAGGATGACAAGGCTACCGCTGTCGCCGCCTACACCGGTATTCCTACCTACTATGAGGATCTGGCCACTCCAGCGACCGCTCTTCTAGCCATGAGTGTGCGAGAGGGCGATGTCGCCAGTGCCACCAAGTACTGGCAGGCTCTCAGCACCCCTGAGATGCAGGCCACTTCTGCCTTCATTGAGCCCACCGCCATGTATGCCGTCGCCTTGATTGGCTCCGGTCAAGTGGCCGAGGGCCTGGCTCAGTCCGAGATGATGTTCCAGCGAATCCGATCCTCAGTGTCCGACCCTCAGTCTCATCTTGCCGAAGAGATCGACGAGGGCGCCGAGTTTATCTCACGGTACATGGAAAGCCGAGGAATCACTGATCCCCGTGAAGCTGCTTCCCAGGTCTCGAGCTTCCCCCAGCAGAATCTGTCCGCCTCTCCCTTCCTGTCGACCCCCAGCGTTTCTAGCTTCGAGGACACTTACGACCCATACGCCCACAACACCGACTTTAAGGGTTCTTCCCTGATTGCCGACGATTTGGAGGGCAACCACGGCCGCAAGGGACCTCGTCTCAGTGATGCTCTCAACCGATTCCGAAACATACGACGTGCTGGCCGACACCCCCGTTACATCACCTACGCTAAGCTGATCTCTGCTGCTGCCCGGGATGGCAAGATTGACCTGTGCCACGACATCCTCGCCATGGCCCGAACCGATATGCCTCTCATGCCCCAGTACGCTGTTGTTCGTTACGGTTGGTCCAGCATCCTCGATGCTATGGTTGGCGCTTGCCTGACCATGGGTAATCGAGGACGGGCTGAACAGTTCCATCAGGAGCTTCTGGAAATGGGCGCTACTCCTTCTGCTAACACTTTCGGTCTCTACATCACTACTCTCAAGGACTCGACCAAGACTTTCGACGAGGCTTCTGAGGCTGTCCGGATCTTCCACCGTGCCAAGGCTGAGGGTGTTGAGCCCAGCTCGTTCCTGTACAATGCTCTGATTGGCAAGCTTGGCAAGGCCCGCCGCATCGACGACTGCCTCTTCTACTTTGCTGAGATGAGGGCTCTTGGAATCAAGCCTACCTCGGTCACCTACGGTACCATTGTCAATGCTCTCTGCCGAGTGAGTGATGAGAAGTTTGCTGAGGAGCTGTTTGATGAGATGGAGGCCATGCCCAACTACAAGGCTCGCCCCGCTCCTTACAACAGCATGATGCAGTTCTTCCTCACCACCAAGCGAGACAAGTCCAAGGTTCTGGCTTACTATGAGCGCATGAAGGTCAAGGGAATTGCTCCCACTGCCCACACTTATAAGCTTCTGGTTGATACTCACGCTACTCTCGAGCCCGTCGATATGGCTGCGGCTGAGGAGGTGCTCGGCATGATCCGCACCTCTGGCCAGCGTGTCGAGCCTGTTCACTACGCCTCTCTCATCCACGCGAGGGGCTGTGTGATGCACGACATGGAAGGCGCCCGCAACATGTTTGATTCGATTCTCAAGGAGGGTCTGGTTCCCGTCAGCGCCAGCCTGTATCAGGCTCTGTTCGAGGCTATGGTTGCCAACCACCAGGTTGCTGCTACCGAGTCTGTCCTGGAGCAGATGCGACGCAAGGGCGTGGAGCTCACCCCCTACATTGCCAACACTCTGATCCATGGCTGGGCTGCTGAGAAGAAGATCGAGAAGGCCCAGAGCATCTATGATGCCGTCGGCCGGGAGAAGCGCGAGCCGAGCACATACGAGGCCATGACCCGGGCTTTCCTGGCTGTTGAGCAGCGGGAGCAAGCCAAGGGTGTCGTGGGCGAGATGCTCACACGCGGCTACCCCAGCGCTGTCGTCAACAAGGTTCTCGAGCTTCTTGGTGGTGGCCAGGAGACTGCTGCTGCCGAGTAAAGCATGTTTTTGTTGGATGATATCAGTGTGAATGGTTGTGGGACTCGGAATTGTTTCTTTGTTGAATTGGCGCATGTGCTTGATACCCCGTTGTACTGGTTGGAGATTGGGTGGGTTTTTATTATGGGGATATTGGGATGAAGTTCAAGAGGCTGGTGGCCCTCGAACTGGTTGATTGGAACGGCGTTTGGGGAAACAAAATGGGTCTTGATACGGAGCGTTGGCCTTTGAATGATTGGATTTGGGGCTGGACGTTCCCTGATAGAACATCACCACTCAAAGAAAGGGAAAACTACATGTCTGCAGCATGAAAGGACTACAGAGCAGGGAACGAAGCTGGTCAGGTTAGGGGACAGGAAAGGGGAAGGGAAAGGAACGGATAAAGGAGGCCACCTGGGAAGAATTGGTCAAGGGAAAGCAGAGCAAAGGGTCCTGCTGCTTGTACCAACAATATTTACGTATCTACCTATAAAGGAAGAAATGACAATGATCAAACAAGTCAAGTCGTTTGCAAAGTGATGATGAGAGTTGTTGGAGATGGCACAAGTTGAGGGGTGATGCTAAGCTCCTGTAGTGACAATGACGTGAGGCGAGCATCATGATCAGGTCAAATAGTCTGGTAAAGGGTGAAGCCTTGCTGTTGTTTGCTCTGATTGGATCATGGTTGTGCCTTGGAATAGAAGCAATGCTTAGGACACGGTCTGTCGGGACTTTGAGTGTGCTTAGATGACAGTGTGGGTCATGTGTGGAAACCTCTCACATGCACTGTACGAGTAGGAAGGAAGCTGATGAGATGAGGATGCCCCGCCAGGCGTCTACGATTCTTCCCGGACTATAAGTTAAAAGAGCTCACAACTCACCGAGCCATTGAGCGTCAGCCCCAATTGAACGTCTTGTCCTTCTCTTTTAACCTCTCCATCGACTGTATATAATTGTATATACGCACCTGCCGCCCAGCATGTCCACACGCAACCCCACCGTCGCCGTGTCCGCCCCGGGCAAGGTCTTCCTGGCAGGCGGGTATCTGGTGCTCGACCAGCAGTACACAGCGTTTGTGTTTGGGCTGGATGCGCGCATCAACATCATCGCTGGCGAGATTCATACGACGCCTGGGGTGCAGCTGACCGAGATCGTCGTCGACAGCCCGCAGTTCCTCGAGGCGCAGTGGAGGTATGGCTACCACCTGGCTGGGGAGGGCGGCGGCATCAAGGTGACTCAATTGCAGGTGTAAGTGAGACTCCTGGCCAGTTAGTTGCCGAGAGATGAAGAAGTTCATCTCATTACTCACTCTTGTTTAGCGGAACCAAGATCAACCCCAATCCCTTTGTCGAGACAACTCTCAGCTACGCACTCACCTACATTGACCGCGTCGCTGGCCAGCGGCCCACCCACAGCATGACGTCTGCCCGCCTCATCATCCTCGCGGACAATGACTACTACTCCCATTCGGAGGTCAAGGGCTCCAAGGGTGGCCGCTTCGCCAGGTTCCCCGTGACTCTGGGCGAGGCCAACAAGACGGGCTTGGGCTCGTCGGCTGCCCTCGTCACCTCGTTGACGGCGTCCCTCCTAGCTCACTACCTTCCCAAGGACCTCTTCGAGATTGACTCGGACAAGGGAAGGCAGACACTGCACAACCTTGCGCAGGCGGCTCACTGCGCTGCGCAGGGCAAGGTCGGGTCCGGCTTTGACGTGGCGACGGCCGTCTACGGGTCCTGCAGGTACAGGCGCTTCTCGCCGGCGACGCTGAGCAACATCCCCGAGCCGGGAGCTGCCGGATTCGCGGATGCACTGGTTAAGCTGGTCGACGGTGAGTCCGAGTGGGATGTCGAGATCCTCAAGGACGCCGTCATCATGCCCAAGGGCGTGGTTCTGCGCATGTGCGATGTCGACTGCGGAAGCAAGACGGTCGGCATGGTCAAGAAAGTGCTGGCGTGGAAGGCTCAGAACCCGGAGGCTTCCAAGGAGCTCTGGGATGAGCTCCAGCGGAGGAACGAGCAGTTCATTGCCACGCTCAACGCTGGGGATGTTGAGCAACTGCCAAGCAGAATCGCGGCTGTGAGGGAGCTGATCAGGAAGATGGGTGACGCGAGCGAGGTGCCCATCGAGCCCGAGAGCCAGACGGAGCTCATTGACGGCCTAAGCACCGTCGAGGGTGTCTACGGCGGTGTTGTCCCGGGCGCTGGCGGCTTCGACGCCGTGGCACTACTGATGAAGGACGACGAGGATACCAAGCAACGTGTCGAGCAGTTTCTGAAGCGGTGGGCTCAGGACAAGGGCACCAAGGTCAAGCTCCTGGCCGTCAAGGGTGAGATGCAAGGTGTCCGGGCCGAGAGCCTCGATGTGTACGCAGGCTGGGTCTGAAAGCAGAGCTGACGTGGAGGAGCCATGTTAGCCTAAAGAAAAGGAAGTCTCAGACGCCAAATGAAACATTTTTACTGTCCTCGTCACCACGTTTCATTCACATTCCAGGTGATGGCTTGGATGCATAAAAGCAGAAATTACATTATACTCCAGGTATGATGGATAACTAACACATTTTCGCCTTCCTTTCCGTGCCTTTGTTGTTTTGAGATGCGAATCCCAGGCATCCATATCCGTATCCATCTAGTTTATATCGTACAAGGGGATCCATGCCACCTACAGTTGTCAAATACGTGTTCCCAAACCAACAAGCGACGCCCCCCATTCTTTAAAAAGCAACAAATAACAACAATAGCTCTGCTGAGGCTGTGTTTCTCACTGCAGGCTCTCGGTCGACGAAACAGAGTTGGATGTGAGGACCGACTTGATGGGAGGTCGGACAGGGTGGGAGAAGAGGCTCGACGTCGAGACGGGAGAGCGAGGGGCTCGAGGGGGTGTGCAAGGGTCTGCGATGCCGATTCGGCTGGCGGCCTCTTTTTCACGGAACATGACGAGTCTGGGTGTGAATGTTAGAGATGAAGATGTGATGTTGTGTAGTGTATATACTTACTGCTCCTCGGACAGACCTGGAAGATGGACGGGGTTCTTTTCAAAGTTGAACGGCGCAGACTAACAACAGTCAGTAACACGACATCGTCGAGCCCAATACCACAGGCATACTCACAATCTGCATCGTTCTCTTCTCCTTTCGCCGCCGCACAATAGCGTGAACACGCGAGCAAAGCGTCTGAAGATCGTCCGAAACGTGCATCTTGGCTCTGACAGTTCGAAGACGAGTAAAAGGTAGTTGAAAGCACCGGGGATCTCTTTCCGGGGAAGAGGCGAGAACTGCGGATCCCATCAAGGTCTGTTGCGTCGTATTGTTTCTTCTAGAAGGTCGAAGAGAAGGATAGTGTTTGCTTTTATACAGACAACAACATCTGCCTGCAGAGGAGGAAGGAATTCTCGATCGAACGGGAAGAAAGAGGCTGGACGTTCTAGAGCCGGCGATAAAGAAGTAAAATCGAACTGATGTGCGTGTATGTCTTGACGCACAGGTTCAATAGAAAGCGAGACCAGCTGAGAAGTGGATGAAAGAAGCAAGTTTTGTTTAAATTTGACAGTAAGGCGGGAAGTAGATGGGGGTAATAACAAGCTTCTAGACTCGCTTCTGGAGGAAAAAAGGACAAAGAAATATAAGAGAGAGGCCGAGGGGAGAAACCCGGCACGCGGCTCGAGGTGGTTGGCTGTGTTTATTTGGATGATATGAGAGACAAAGAAGTGAGTGGGAGTGAGTGAGTGGAGAGACTGTTTAGAAAAGTCCAAGACACGGGAAGTGGGAATGAGTGTGTGTGTGTATGAGAGAGAGAGAGAGAGAGAAATGAGTGACAGGAATTTTCTTTCTAAGAGAGGAAAGAGTATTTTTTAAATAAATAAATGAGGAAAGAAAAGACCCTTTGACTCTAAAGCGAAAATGCCAACTCATATAAATCCAAGACTTTTGAAAGGATCGTCCTAGTAAAGATTGACCCCAAAACGCCGGGAGCAGGGGAAGAGAAAGCTACAAATCTTTCTGGAATGGATCCGACGGACTGGAATTCCAACCGCCTCCAGGGGCTTTACAAGTCCCCTTTTTCATCTCTCGCGAGTCCATCAGCTAACTTGTCTCACTTTCTCGCCCTTCAGCTGAGACAAGGCGAGGTGGGTTGATGGTGTACGCACGGTTGCGGGACATAACCGTGAACGAGAGCTGGAGCTGGAACTGTCACAGGGAGGCCGCTGCGAAGAAATATGTTGGCTTTTCGGTACCTGAGCTATGGATTCCATGTCTTGGAGCTACCGAACGGTGGTGGTGGCAGGGAGTGAGTTAGTGTATGCGTGTCACACGAGGGATGGCGGGCGGGCGTATCGCTAATCGCAGAAGCTACAATGATCTACAACCTTTCAAAAAGGATGAATTATGCAACCAAACTATCCATGAATGATCGTCCTTTTTCGTGTCGTGATAGTTTTTACTTGCCACGCGGGTGAAAGATTACAAGGCCGCTTGCCCCATAGAAATTGTATGTGAGGACCGGCCCTGTTTTCTTTCACCCGCGTGCTTGCTTAAGGGAATGGAACCATCAATGTCGTCACTCGTTCGCCTCCACATCAACTGTACCACTCCGTGACGGCATGTCGCAGATTTGCTCGACACACCAACCATGACCGAATGCGGTAGTAGCTTTGGTTGCGAGAGAGAGACGGCCTCTTGTTGAAAACGTCTCACACAAAATCGCTCTCTGGCGAGACGCGTCTCAGAGACAGTCGCCAAGACATCCGTTATCATGTGCATTCTGCTCGACGCTCACAGAGGAGAAAAAAAGAGACTCATCATCAACCGAATTGTGAACCGTGGTTTCATATCATTTCATATTTATTTCTCAATTTGCATGCTTATTTGCTTGCTTGCAGTTGACACATCCTCTGAATCAATCCAAGGCTGCGTTCGTCTCATTCATCCGAGTCACATGTCTAACCGCGCCCCCTTCTATCACTGATCCGTTCCCAAACAAAGAACATATTCCTCTATTTCGGATAATCCTTGAGGTGGTAGCTCTTGAGCTTCACAAACTGATCAAAGCCGAACCGGCTAAGGGTCTGTCCCTTGCCAGAATTCTTCCATCCTGTCCACGCAAGATCCTGTTGTCGATTAGCAAATGACTCCATCAATACGTTCCCGCCGACACTCCCTGCGCTAGGGAGAAGAAAACTTACCGGGCTCGGGTAATCGCAACGGTTGACAAAGACGGTACCCGCCTCCACTTCCTCGGCAAGCTCATATCCTTTGTCCGTGTCCTTGGTCCAGATGCTAGCTGTGAGTCCGAACTCGCTGTCATTCATGAGCTTGACGGCCTCCTCGTCACTCTTGACCTTCATAACGGGGACTGCAGCGTCGTTAGTACAGGGTACGTCAAGATGGACCGCAAGAATTTACTGATTGGGGCAAACGACTCCTCCGTCATGACACGCATGCTGTGGTCGACACCCGTGAGCAGAGTGGGTTTCACAAAGTTACCCTTGGCAGGCGGGTTGCTAAAGGTTTCGTTCTCGGGTGTAGCATCCTTGGCACCGTTGGCGATGGCGTCCTTGATGTGGTCCTCGGCAGTCTGCTTGGATCGCGTCGAGATGAGAGGGCCGATCTGAGTCTCCTTGGAGAATGGGTCACCCAGCTTGTAGCTCTTGAGCACATTCTGCACTGCCTCGACAAACTTGTCATGGATCTTCTCGTCCACGTAAATACGCTCAAGAGAGCAGCAGCTCTGTCCCGAGTTAAAGATTGCGCCGTCGACAATCTCGGCAGCAGCCCAGTCAATGTCGACATCTGATCGAACATATGCTGGATCCTTGCCACCCAACTCCAGACCGACACCAACAATTCGGTCAGAAGCCGCCTTTTGGACTGCGAGTCCTCCCGCAACGGAGCCTGTGAAGCAAACCAGGGAGATCTTGGGATCCCTCACGATAGTCTCCATAAGACTAGGGGATCCAGAGTGGAAGTACTGGCAGACACCATCAGGGAGGCCCGACTCCTTGAGGATCTCGGCAACACGCTCCACGATGGTGGGTGTCTGAGGTGAGGGCTTCAAGATCACACTGCAACCTGCGAGCAGAGCAGGAACCAGTGAGTTGACCAAGATAAGGTAAGGATACTAGACCGGGTCAACAAGATGATCAACGTGGTGATAGGGCTAGCACGTACATTCCAGGCAAAGATGATGAGTACAGGACCGACAGGAACCTTTCTGATGAAACGCTTGAATCCCTTCTCGGCCTCACCGTCGGTATCCTGCAGAGCCTCATCGCTAATCTTGAGGAGATACTCGCCACGCTTGACAGCTGTGGCAACCTCTCCGGGGGTGTATGAGATGGGACGTCCCATCTGCACGGTAAGCTCCTCGCCGAGCTCATCCTTCTTCGCCAACAGACCGTCCAGGAACTTGCGGACGATCTGCTGTCGCTCCTTCAGCGTTGTCTTGCGGTAGCTCTCAAAGGCCTCGGTGGCGACCTTGGGGAGGGTCTCAAGGTCAGCCGCAGAGGCGCCATTCCTGGTGAGGATGGCCTCGTTGGTGTTGGGGGAGATTGTGGTGATGACTTCGACAGACATTGTAAAAAACTTGATTGAGAAACTGAGAAGAGGAGGTTCAAGGTTGAAGCCTTGGGTAGATAGAGACTATCTCGCTTGGAGGTTGGAGTGACCTAAGAGTGGAGTATTTGAGTTGGAGATACACCTCACTCACTCAGTGAATGACGGCGGCAGGCGGCTCGCGGCTCGCGGTCCAGTCCATTGATTGATTGCTCTTGCCCCACGTAACCCATCCGAAACCCGACGTCGGCCGCAGCCAAGGTCATTCATCACTCATCAACCCCGCTATCAAGGCCCTCATGATAAGACGAGAGAGGTAGAACTGGCTGCCGCGGTACGCCCTTCCATAAAAAGAAACCTGCATCAGATCGGTACTGGGATGAATGCCGAGAAGTCAATGCTTTAAGCAAGGCAAGGCAAGCTCTAGCTGGCTTAAAATCTACTACATGTCTATGATAGAGCTAACTATCCGCGTCCCGGCTATGAACTTGTCATTCTTGGCCGACATCAATGACAATTACTTGTAGCTACAGATCAATCCTCCAAATATTACATCAATTCGCCTTGAACAGTGCAATTATCAACCTGATATCCTGAGCTTCCCCTCAAAATCGGTGACGTCGTTCCAAGACCCCTCCAAGTCACATGACCCTTCGCCTCAATGGATGAGCCAGGGATGGCTTATCTTATCAGCCACTTTTTTTTCTAGATCCCTAGCCTCAGGGTCTGAATGCTCTGCAGTTCGCGACAATCCAATTGGCACTTCAACATGGCGCCAGAAAAGAAGAACGACTTTCTCGACACCGCCGACAGCGACGAGGAGAACGATGTCGGCTACAACTCTGAAGATGAAGTGACAAAGGGCGGCCACACCGCCAAGCGACGGAAACTCGACTCGGACGATGAGGACGATCTTGGTAGCGACAATGATCGCGATGCCAGCGACAACGAGGACGATGCGGCCGAGGGAGGTGCAGACCTCAAGGAGGACGAGGAAGCCAAAGACGAACCCAGAAAGTCAAAACGCAAATCAAAAGCCTCCCTATCGACAGAACTGCCCGATATCACAAAGCCCCTAACAAAGAAGAACCTCGTCGCATCCGAGGCCGCAATCAAAAAGTCTGGCGTCGTCTACCTCTCGCGAATCCCGCCCTTCATGAAGCCCGCCAAGCTCCGCTCCCTCCTCGAGCCCTACGGCACCATCAACCGCATCTTCCTAGCCCCCGAGGACCCTGCGTCGCACGCCCGTCGCGTCCGCGCCGGCGGCAACAAGAAGCGCTCCTACACTGAGGGCTGGGTCGAGTTTGTCAACAAGAAGGAGGCCAAGACCGTCTGCGAGCTACTCAACGCGCGCACCATTGGCGGCAAGAAGGGCAGTTACTACCGCGACGACCTGTGGAACCTGCTCTACCTCAAGGGCTTCAAGTGGCACAACCTGACGGAGCAGATCGCCACCGAGAACGCCGAGCGCACCAGCCGCATGAGGGCCGAGATCAGCAAGACGACGCGCGAGAACAAGGAGTTTGTCAGGAACGTCGAAAAGGCCAAGATGCTCGACGGCATGGAGGCCAAGGCAAAGGCCAAGAAGAGGAAGGCTGGTGCCGAGGAGCAGGGCGAGGATGAGGTGCGGCAGGTCAAGAGGTCCTTCAAGCAGGTTCCGCTGGCCAAGAAGAGGACGGAAGTGGAGGAACAGCCAGCAGAGGTGGCGAGAGTATTAAGCAAGATTTTTTAATAATCAGCCAGTTTTTGATACTTTTGTATACGGAGTACAGGACAATTAACGTGGGCCATATAAAATAGCATTGCATAAGTATATGGATTTCCAAAGCCTTCAACTTAAATCTGACGCCGAATTAAGTCGAGTTTAATAGGTGCCTCCTTAGTTAACGGGTGGTCACCAGACTGACTTCTCTGCTACCCTAAGAGCTAGGGGACTCATTTCAGAGACATATGAAACAACATACCCAGTTGCAAAATAGCCAAGATCGTACTCACTACCACCCCCATGCATATAATCATCGCAGGCACATGCTTAGATCTTTAACATCTATATGCAGCCTAACAAGTCGAATACATCTAAGGCGATTGGTAACCACAACTAAATAAAATACCCCACTTTCCCAAAAAAGATGCACCAAAAAATCGCCTCCCGGGAGGAGGGGCAATAATTTTTCAGCAAAAAAATCATGGCCGATAAGGCTCCCGCAGCGCTTATCAACCAATTTTCCCACTCTTTCCTGAGAGTCACGAACTCGTCCATCTTGAACCAAATCAACCAAATTCATCCATAACCAGAGACATCGTTTTGCCCAACATGTCGATGGATCTTGATGACCAGCCTATTTCCATAGCCCCTGTCTCTCAGCAGCAGGGCGCTGCTACGTGAGTAGTGTGCCCTCATTCCCATTAATCACCCCGCACACATGCGCAAAGAGAAACACGGACGACTGACTTAGACTTCAGTATTCTCTGCTGCAACTGCGGCGCCCCCATCGATGGAACGACTTCCGCCGGCGCCCTCTGCTACGACTGCATCAAGCTCACCGTCGACATCTCCCAGGGAGTCCAGCGCGAGGCCACCCTCAACTTCTGCCGAGACTGCGACCGATGGCTCATGCCCCCCACCAGCTGGATCGTGGCCTCCCCCGAGTCCCGCGAGCTGCTGGCCCTGTGCCTCAAGAAACTGCGCGGCCTGAACAAGGTCCGCATCGTCGATGCTAGCTTTGTCTGGACAGAGCCACACTCGCGCCGTATCAAGGTTAAGCTCACCATCCAGGACGCCGTCCAGGATGGTATGCTCCTTCAGCAGAGCTTCGAGGTGATGTATGTCGTGGCCTACCAGCAATGCCCCGAGTGCGCCAAGTCGTACACGGCCAACGTGTGGCGAGCCGCCGTCCAGGTCCGCCAAAAGGTCCTCCACAAGCGAACCTTTTTGTTCCTCGAGCAGTTGATCATGAAGCACGGCGCCCACCGGGATACCCTCAACATCAAGGAGGCCAAGGACGGCATCGACTTTTTCTTTTCCCAGAAGAACCAGGCTGAGAAGTTTATTGATTTCCTCAACTCGGTTGTCCCCGTCAAGGTGAAGGCGTCTCAGGAGCTCATCTCTCACGATGTTCACACCTCCAAGACGTCTTACAAGTTCACATACTCGGCCGAGTTGGTGCCTATATGTAAAGACGACTTGGTCGCCATGCCCATCAAGATGGCCAAGCAGAATGGCAACGTCTCTCCCCTCCTCCTCTGCCACAGGATCGGCACCTCAGTCTACCTTTTGGACCCCCAGACCCTTCAGACATGCGACATCAGCGCACCAATCTACTGGCGTGCTCCTTTCCTGTCTCTCACCGATACACATGAGCTCGTCGAGTTTATCGTTATGGACATCGAGCCTACCAACACTCAGAAGGGCAAGTGGACGCTTGCCGAAGCCACAGTTGCCCGAGCCTCTGATCTCGGCCACAACGACCGAACATATTTCACAAGGACACACTTGGGTCGATTCCTCCAGCCTGGTGACTCGGCCATGGGTTACCTACTGTCAGGTACCGTCTTCAACAACACAGAATACGAGGCTATCGAGGCCTCCAACCAGTACGGGTCAACAATTCCCGACGTGGTGTTGGTCAAGAAGCACTATCCCCGCCGCCGGAAGAACCGCAACAGAAACTGGAAGCTCAAGCGTATGAACAAGGACGAGGGCGAGCTTCTTCCCAAGAAGGCCGACCAGGACCGTATGGACCGAGAGTACGAGCAGTTCTTGCGGGATGTGGAGGAAGACGAGGAGCTCCGTGCCACGCTCGCCTTGTACAAGGCTAAGAAGAAGGCAGAGGAGGAGATGAGCATAGCAGAGACGGAGGAGGGTGATGATGAGGCGCCGCATGTGGACATGGATGAGTTGCTGGACGACTTTGATGAGCTTACGGTGGAGGATCGGCAAATGCAAGGTTAGGACTCACAATGAAAAGAACTGATTTGACTTCCATCGCGTGTTGGCGTTTGATGATGTTGTGATGAGTATTGCCCGTGATGCTCATATAAAAGAGGGAATGTCGTCGAGAGAAGACCTCGTTTTAGCGGGTGTTGGCTGTTCCACCTTGCGTACTTGCTCTTTTGACTTTTGCCGTTGAATTCTTCGCTTCTTGATCCCAAAGGGGTCGTCATCTTCATCATCATCATGAATATCTTTGTGCTTGGATGTCTTGCCGATGTAGGGCGTCTCGATTTTGCTTGATGCTGTAGTTGGTCGTCTTACACTTGAACTTGTTCTTGGGGTATTAGTAGTGGTCGTACTCAAAGGCCGAGGAGTGCTAAATGTCGGCCTCGTCACTGACCGAGCCATGGTTGGAGATGAAGTGTGAGCAGTGCGACTTGACTTCACCATGGGTGTCCGAGAGGGCGTGGATAGGTCCAGATCTTCTCCGTCGTCTGTCTCGTCATCCGCGGAGAGTAATTGACGCTTCTTGGCCGAGAACGCCTTCGGAGTTGCTCTTAGCTTGATTGGGCTCAACTTTTGTGAATCAAACCCAGCTGCTGCTCTTGTGGCGGCTGCTCCGGCCATACCTCCTGATATCCATTTGTGCTCCTTTCTAGGACTCTCCATCAAGCCCTTCAAGCTCCTCCCCACGAACGGCGTCTCTTCTTCATCACCGTTACGCATAAACCCGCGCTGTTTAACAGCACGCCGCGCGCTTTCCTGCCTTCGCCGGGCGAGGAGCGTGGGTGCCCCGATTACGGGACGCTCAATCTCGCGGATGGTGTCGGCGTTTTGGCTCTTGGCTAGGGACTTGAGACGGTTGTACTCTGCGCGGTGAAGATGCGTGGTGAATTGGTGAGCCATGTTGACGAATTCGTCCTCGACCATGCGGTAGCGGTCATCATGTTGAGGACCAGGTCTCATGAACCTGGGGTATATTAGTCACGGGGCTCAAGTGATGATAAGAGTGATATGTACCTCTCTGGTGGTGGTTCTGGCGGCGGTGACGTGGACGGGCTCCTTACACCATCTTAAAACACATTTAGTTGCGAAACGAGGTGTGTGAGCAAGTTGTGAGATACCTTCATCGTCAATGACGCGATCGCGACGCGGTTTCTTGATGAACGATGCCGGGGTTGAGGCTGACGGCAGGCTCGGTGAGTGAGTCCGCGAAGCGCGTGGGCTATCCGACTTTACGAGCGGTTTCTTATCGGCGCTTGAAGTAGTCGTGGATGTCTTCCACGGTAGACGCCTGCCCATGATTGCATTACGGGTGGTTGATTGATTTGATTGATGCTATCTTGATAGTGTTTGGTGGTGGGGTCAGGAGTGGTTGGAGCTGTGCTCGCGTAGTGGCTCTAGGCAGCTACACCTCCCCAGACATTTGGGCCTAAGTTAGTCGCCGAGTCACACAAGGAGATGGATAACAATCAACCCAACATGGCTACCTTCTAAGAAATGCCTCTAGGAACATTTTTCTGCAACAAGGAATGTCATTTTGCGACACAGGAAGCCCAGATGGCTTTTCTATCTCCAACAATCATTCCTAGGCAAGGTTCAACCTGTTCCCCGCCACGGGGGTACAAGGGAGGCAAGCTGGTAGTTGAATAAGTCGAGACTCCGCCTATCAACCTTGTGATTGACCTCGACATACTATCATTTCCTAGGCCAGAAAAGGGACCATCCTGCATAAGCTAGTTATACGAGTTACTGCCTTTGACAGTCCCGTGTGTTGAACTTGAACAGGAATCCTACCAACTGCTTGAACCAAGCTGGCCAACCTGTGAACCCAACCATCCATGCAAGTCCTGTTCTCATGAACTTCAACTATCCCGAGGTCATGTAAATGTCACAACTCACACCGAGGACATTCACAAGAAAAAATGCATTACCGAGGCAAATCTCCCCCTAACCTTCCAAGATTGCCAAGTCATGCCACAGCCTGTCGATTCAACCGGGGAGATCAGTCCATCTTGCACAGCCGTCTCGGTTATCTTTGTTGCCCACCTCACCTACCTAGAACATGGATGGATATCTGTCTCCGCCAGCTCTGACTCCCTCCGGAAGATCAGTGTCCGAAGAGATAAGATGCTGGAACGGGGTAGAAAGCACACTTCCGTTGTGTTGGAGTAGAGTCGCCAACACCCCCGGCGATAACCCCAGATTCGCCACGAGTCGAATGTTTACGCCCTGTTCAACCCTTGCTTATCGAACCAAGGACAGCTTCTTTTTTTTCAATGACCGAAGCCTCATCCTGTGAGACAGTCGAGACACGCAGTTACATGACCGCTAGAAGTTGCCCTCCCTCACCAGACAGCCGGGTCTCTCTTTTTTCTTACAGACAGCCTCACCGAGAGATACACACAAAATACGCAAGGTACACTACCGATTGCGAGACCCCTACGTAATGTTGGTAATCTACACCGTCCCAGTGGCCGCCAAGAGATTTATTCTTGGCCATCTTTTTACTATCGCCGCACCCCCACCGGCATCGGAGACCAGAAAGACTCATGTAAGTGGGAATTTCTTCCCCAAAGTCCTGGTTTGTACCTTCAGGTCAACATTGTTTGGGTCCATAGACCCGCAGCGGTGGATACGCAATTGTGTAATAGCCTCCGCCTGCAAATGTACATAGAGCAAGTCATCTTGACCGGCAAGTTTTTCCTGGTTTGAGAAAGAAAAAAACATTGGATCGTGAAGAAGTTTTGCGGAAAAACTTCATGACATCGGCGTTTGTCGGGGTCAAACTATGGATACTATGTTGTAAAGTTGCTTCCTCATGACATAACGAAAAGGTAAGCAGGACAGTTCAAACAGCAACTTTTGATGCAGACTTGCAGTTCAACAAACATAAATCACCTGGTTATCAAAGACAAATCCACTCCACCCCTCTGGACTCAACTTTTTGTTCCACGGTGAATCTCCTTATCACCTCCGTCTCCACCGCCATGAACCTCCGTTCCGCCGGTTTCCCCCGTTCAGGTCAAGTCAAAATTCGCAAGAAAGACCAAACACACACACACCCCCTTCGGCCATTGGCCGGGTTTTGGGCCCCGTCCCAGTATCAACGCCCCCTGGTCCCCAGGTCAGGGCAAGCGAGAGCGGCTCCCATGCGGGGGAACAAATGGCATCCATGCGGGGGTGGGCTGAAAGAAAAAAAAAAATCTGAGAGAAAGAAGGTGAAGCGGGAGAAGAAGAACGAAAACCGGACCGCCCTTCTCCGTGTGGGGAGGGCGAACCGTCCATTCCCTTTCCCCAGACGGGGGAACCAGGGGGACGACCAGTCAACGATCCTTCCCCCCTCCCCCGGTATATCGGAGTCTCTTCACCGTCGGCCGTGAAACGCTCACGAGGCCCCGGACTTTAGAAAGAAGTCATCGTCACCATGTCCCCCGAGAGTGCGAGATTTCACCGAATGGTGTGGGTGGTTTTTTTGCATGATCCCCATGTTTTTGCATCCCCTCTTCCTAGGTACCTACTTTAGGCCCAGCTACGACAGAAAGATAAAACTTGCCCAACAAGGCAGGAACTACCCGCCGTCCAAGGTGAAGAGGCGGGCCAATCACAGATAAAGCTCGGGAATCGGAGCCTGCTCGAAGCGGCATTTTAAAAAAGAAATCAAAGGAGGGAAGCTGCGACTCCACTGCGCCTGCCTTCCTCCGGGCCAGGTCAGGTCAGGTCCCCTCCCTCCCCAGGGTGTTCATGCCCGTCTGCTTGGGAAAAGGTGTGGCGTCCAAGTACCTAACGCCAAGAATACGCCCTTACCACATGTCAACGTGGACAATGAAACAAGGTCTCGAGATTTGGAGCTCAAGCTTAGGCTCAAGCTCAAGCTCAAACTCAGACAACATCACACGATAAACAGCTCAAGGCAACATGTGAAAGTCTAATTCGTCTTGAAATGCATTGGCTTGCGGGTGAGGTATATTAGAGCTATACGCAGAACACAAAAACCAGGATCGTCCAATGCTTTTTGCAGAGACCCCGCCAAGATGGATGTAGGTAGGCAAGTACCTAGGTGCGATAATCAAAAGCTGTAAACCAACGCCGAGTCCTTTCCAGGGTCTTCTTGTAGTAGTAGTGTGACCATGTCCCATGAGTTCATACAAACGATCCCAAAACAAATCAAGTTGCTTGCTTACTCTTCCGTCACCACAACCTCGTCCCGTACTACCTTGTCAACAGCCTTGGCAAAGTACTCGACGTTGTTCTCGTTGAGACCAGCCATGCTGATGCGACCGTTCTTGGTCATGTAGATGTGGAACTCTTCCCGGAGCTTGAGTACTTGTGACTCGCTCAGGCCAGTGAAGCTGAACATGCCAATCTGGTCGGTGATGTGGTTCCAGGTGCCAGGGGTCTCGAGCTCCTCGAGCTTGGACCGCAGGGCGTCGCGCATGCTGATGATGCGGCCTGACATGGTGCGCAGGTTCTCCTCCCACTCGGCAAAGAGGTCGGCGTCGTTGAGCACAGTGCTGACAATGCGAGCACCGTACAGGGGAGGGTTTGAGATCTCGGATCGCTGAAGGACGGCGAGTTGAGAGCCAATGCGGGTGATGGTGGTGGAGGCATCATCACTTGAGGGAGTGACGGCGTGGAAGCAGCCAGCACGCTCACCATAGAGACCAAAGTTCTTGGCGAAACTTTGAGCGACAACGAGCTCGAAGCCCTGCTCTGTGAAGTAGCGGATGGACCAGGCGTCGCGGGCGAGGTCACCAGAGGCGAAACCCTGGTAGGCGGTATCGAAGAAGGGGAAGTGCTTCTTCTCCTTCATGATGGCAGCAATCTCGGTCCACTGCTCCTGGGTCGGGTCGACACCAGTGGGGTTGTGAGCGCAGGCATGGAGGACGAAGACGGAGCCCTCGGCAGCGGATTGCAGAGTCTCCTTCAGACCCTCAAAGTCGAGGCCCTTGGTCTCCTTGTGGAAGTAGGGGTATGTGTCGACCGTGAGACCGACGTTCTTGAAGATCTGGTGGTGGTTCGCCCAGGTGGGATTTGAGACGTAGATGGTGCGGGGGCCCTGGTAGAACTTGGCGAGGAAGAGAGCGCCCAGATGCACAGCACCGGTGCCCGAAATGGTCTGGAGAGTGACTGTGCGCTTCTCCTGGAGCGCCTGGGAGTCGGCGCCAAAGATCAGCTCGGCAGCCTTGGAGGTAAAGCTGGCGATACCCGCAATGGGGGCGTACTCATGGTTGAGCTCGGGGTCGTTTCGGAGGATCTCATCAGCCTGTGACGCATGCGGGGTTAGCCAAGTTCTAGAGCAGTCAAGAATTCGGGCAAAGTCGCGGCGGGGCCGATTGGGGCGATTGGGGCGAGCTCTGGCACGGATTTGCGCGCGAGGGCTCCATGAGGCGCATCGTGAAGTGTTGGCCCCATGACCCCCGAGAGGCGCTTATACGGAAGCCAGAGAGCGCGCGAGCTGTAAGGAGCTGGAGCTGCCTCTGGCGGATCCGCATCGGAAGCGTCTCCCGAGCAGGGGGGATTGTTTTTGGGTGGTAGGGCGTTCGTGGAAGGGCAATGCATGTGCATGCGACAGAGGGGATGGGGCTTATGGGTTTATGCGACAGAGGGATGCAGAGGGCGACGAGAGTCAAGCTCACGGGGAGCAGCTCGGTGTAAGGCATACCTTCTTGACGACGGGCAACACCCAAGGCTTTGCGTTCTCGTCTCTGTAAGCGCCGATACCCTGAGAGAAAAAGATGTTAGCAAGAGTCAACAACAACAAGAGGGACAAGATAAGAAGAACAAGAAGCAACTTACAAGATCGACCTTGCTGGTGCTCTCATCGGCCTTGTAAGCCCTGGCGAGACCGAAGAGAGCATCTTCGGGGGCCTGGGGGACAATGTCGGCAGGGAAGTTGGTAGTGGAAGCCATGATGGGCGATAGATGACGAGCGATATGGTTGAGTCTAGAGATGGAACTCGAGAAAGAAGAGGACGAGGTCGGCGCCGTTTTATCAGTCGAGCTGAGGATGCTACGGCCACCGTGAGTCTGACGGGGCGTGCTCAGCGACGGTGTCATAGTGGGCTGCGGCCCTGAGGATTTTCGATTAGGGGGGGGGAGGAAGGAGGGGCCTTGGGGCCTTGGGAAGCCGTCTCCGGTGGCCTGGGTGGGGACCGGGGGGGGGGCGTGTTTTTGCGGGTGAGGCGAGGTGAGGTGAGGTCCCGGGAGTGTGCGTCCGAAAAAAGATACCTGGAGTACATTGGAACAATCAGTCAGTGTCATCCATGGATGATGGACAGTTGTTTGTTTGGAGTGCGACA